GCTGCAGATTGTCAGCAATTTCCTTCTCCAGCACATGGATAAATACACCTAGAAACAGCTACCTACCTACCTACTCTCTCTCCCTCCCTACCTACCTACTGTATTTCTCTCTCTCTATCCCTTTACCTACCTATCTACCCTCCCTCCCTACCTGCTGTATTTCTCTCTCTCTCCCTCTACCTACCTACCTACTCTCCCTCCCTCCCTCCCTACTGTATTTCTCTCTCTCCCCCCCTACCTACCTACCTACACAAACTCTCTCTCTCTTCCTACCGACCTACTCTATTTCTCTCTCTCTACCTAACTACTCTCTCTCCCCCTACCTACCTATTTCTCCCCCTCTCTATCCCTCTATCTACCTACTTACTTTTTTTTTAATTTGCCTCTTCAAAACCTTGATGCGTCTTATACTCCGGTGCGTCTTATACTCTGAAAAATACAGTATATTATATTATATTACAATATTATATTATAGTTATATTATATTATACTATGCTATGCTATGTTATGCTATACTATTGTTATGCCATGTTATGCTTTGCTATACTATAATTGTAAATATTACAAAAATATTTGTTTCCTCCCTTTAAGTCCTTAGAAAACAGTAATGGAATAAGATAAAATAAGACAAAATATAAAAATGAAATTAATGCCATGTACTGCAGAATTAGAGCATAAATATTTTTGTAGAATCCCTAATTTCATTCTTAATTAATATTGCAGCTATTTGCTTGTATATTTAAACTGACACATTTACTTCTCATTGACTTTGTTTGGTCAACAAATATATAATCTCAATGTCTAAATATAAAAAAATATTTTCCTCTGATATTTCTAGAAACTTGATGTGTGACTGGATTTATATTAGGTGTTTTCTAGTCATGGTTCATGTTCTTAAGCGTTATGACAAATAGGACCTGGAGGCTTGAACGATTCTCCAATTTAGGAGTGCTGGCTATCGGGACCTTAGAAGAACGCCTTCTTTGTTATGGCACCTGCCTTCTGGGATGAGGTTCTCCTTAAGGCTTGGGTAGCATTCTGGAAGGCCCTAAAAATCCTGGCTGGTCTCTCGGATTTTGGGCTAGAGTAGTTAGAGCCCCTTTCTAGTTACATGATATGCTAATTGTTGCTGAGTTCCTCATCTTGTTTACTGTTTTATGTTCTACTTTTGATTGTATATTTGTTATCTTGTTTTTATGTTATGGGCCACCTGAGTGAATTGGAGTTGGGTGATGTCTAAGTAAAAACAAACAAAAATGCATAAACACACAAACATTTTGTACATCTTTTTTTACTGTTTTACTGTTTTCTTTTTAAAACAATTTAAATGACTTTGTTATATCAAATTTGTGTAATTCAAAAATAAGACATTACAGAGAATCTCATTTTGCTTAATAATCCTGCTTTTTCACTGGAACATACCCTTTTGTAATTGTAGATGAACACTAGCTTTAGTTTTTAGTAGTATGTAGTCTAATACATCTTCATTTAACTTATTTCCAAGCTTTGGAATTCACTTCTGAAATAACCTATAAAACACATTAATGAGTTTATTTCTGTATTTATAAATATCCATAAATATTTTCTGAAAGGATATTCGTTTGTTTTTTTAGCTGGAGATCACAATTCAGATATTTTTCACGCATGCCATCTTAAATTCATGATCCGTGGAGAGATTCTTAAACTAGATTAGGGAACAGAGATCCTATTATCAGATTAAGCTAATACCACAGTTTATTGAAATAGACTAAACCAAATTAATAGGATATTTAATTTCAGCAAATTTGGACTTCCTTTGACTATGTAATGGTAGCCACTGATAACCCAGTCCGAGCCCTCATATTTCAATCACAATACTATGATATAATACTGTATCGTAAGAACATAGTATCTGTGACAGTGGCCATTCTGTTGAGAGTAACAGATAAAGGTTCAGGGCAGTTGGGAAAAGGGAGAGTGGGCAAAAACATATGGTTGGCAAAAAAATAAAAAGACTTTGACAAACTTAACTATGGGCTGTGAGGACAAGGAATTAAGTCCTCAGGACATACCATCTTAAATAGAGATATTCTCAAGCCTGTCACTACTATTTTTACTTTCGTTCTTTACTCCAGCAAGAAGATAACAAAGTGCTGAAGCTAGTCCAGAAGAAATTCTGTGCCAGCGGACCATATAGTGGTAAGACGATAGCAGGAGCAAGCAGCGCACCATATTGTACGTGACACCAACTATTCCACGAAACAGCCCTTGCACTGTCAGTTTGTGCAGGCAGGTGTCCTTTTTAGGATTCAGATGTTTGAAATAATTTAACAACAATTAAATCTGAAATTTTAATTTTTCATTGTGTTTTGGAGGGTTAGGGTTATTTTGCACATTTTAGAAAAGTAGCACACTCTTTAAAATGATTTTTACATAGTATTAATATTTCTTTGTGATATCTGGGTGAAAGGTAGTAAAAATACAGTTCTATGAAAAAGTATTTGTTCCTTTTGGGATTTCTCTATTTTTGTATATCTTTACCAGTTAAAATATAGCTTCATGTGGGTCCTACTGATTTTTAAAGAGAGTAACATCAAACTTTGGGGTTCTTTTTATTTATTTTTAACTGAAACCTTCCAAAATACAATATGGCTGTGTGAAAAAGTAATGGTTTCCTTGTTATGTCAATATTTTTTAAAAAAACCCTTCCTAGTGTTTTCCTGCAAATACAATTTTTGGTTTTCTGATCAACTGAGTGTTGATCCACTGGTTAGAGTAGGAATTGACTGGCTGGCTTGTCACCTGAACCTTATGTCATGGTCTGAAAGAGAATGACTGGGCCAGCATTCACATTGCCAGCTTTCATGCCTAAAATGGGGCCAGAATTTGCAATTTCCTGGTTTCTAGCTTGGTGCCTTAATTATCAGACCAAACTGTCTCTCATTCAGTACAGTTAAATCACAGGATGGGTTTGTGAATACTTCATTAAACAGGCTACTGATTGGATCATCACTGCTCTCTGGAAGTAACAATAATTAATATGTTATTGTTGCCAAAGACTAAATTACAAAAGATAAAGCAAATGCAATCTGGAAATACAAGAAAATAATCATTAATTAGATAAAGTACCCAGTTTTGTTGTCAGTTCAGAACATAGCCTTAGTATTTAACAATTGCTTAAGTGATTTCAGGATACATTCTTTTTTTTAAAGGAAAATTTCAAAATATCATTTGACAGTTCCCAGGCAATCTAATTAGTAGGGGTTGGATTCGTTGGAAGGTAATTTCTCATAAATTTTCAGAAAGATATGTTCTGAGATTTCAGTTTGATCAGAGGCATAGAGGTGTCATTTCTGCAAAATATGTCTGATTGTTCAGTATTTAACACCCATGACTGCAAAGGGAAGGGCATTAAACTGTGTTCTAGAGGATGTGTTGTAATATGGGGAATTTGGTTTTTGGATATGCTTTTAAATCAGTGTTGACTCCTGGCAACTGCCCAGGCTAGTCTTTGAAGTTTTCTTGGCAAGATTTCAGAAGTTGTTTGCCGTTTGCTATTGCCTGCTTATTAGGGTTGAGATAGAGTGATTGGTCCAAGGTCGTCCAACTGGCTTTGTGCCTAAGACAATATTAGAACTCACAGTTTGTACAGTTTAGAATTATATTATTATTTTTGTGGTTTGCAGTTCCCTTGATTCATTATAAAGTTGATATAGGCATCACTAACTTTTTAACAGAAATTTACAAGAATTTCTTTTTGACACAGCATGATTTAGAATCCATGTGATGAAAAACTGAATGTGATTTAAGAGCTAAATTTCAAAATATTTGTAGAGAGCTTCATATTTAACATTTTAATTTTAAATAATTGTTTAAAAAACTATGAATTATATGCTCATCCACTTTCCCCTCCCCACTTTGCCATTGCTGCCACTTTGCAGAGCCAGAAAGGTTGGGGATCCTATCCGTAAGCAGAAACACATGTAGCTTATGTAGCAAGGCAACAATCTCAAACATATAAGCAAGTATGATTATTTTAAAAAACCCATATGTCAATGTTTTTAAACGCTAAACCCCATAGAAATATTATGACAGGAACAGAGTAAGCAATTCATGTTTGAATACAGTTAAATGTTACTAATTTGAAGCAGTTTGCTCTGGAAGAATAAACCTGAAAAAGAGATGTAAGACCCTAATCACCAATTACAGAACGTAGTCATAGCACCTATAGGCTTTCCGGTCAAAGATGTTACTTAATTTAAGAGGATGATTACTTTTTCACACTGGTGCATTGCATGCTAGATTGCTTTGTTTATGTAATAAATCAATAAATTAAACAAGAATCAAACCTGGGTGTGTTCTTGTTTACTCAGATTCCCTTAACCTATCAGTAGGATTCATATAAAACTCCTGTTACATTCATTGTCAAGTTATGCAAAAAGTAAAAAAATCTAAAAGGTATGACCACTTCTTCATTGAATAAACAGATGTACATTATTAAGTAGATGTATCTCATCTCACAATCAGGAGGCTGTGAGTTCGATCCTAGGTAGATATTTCTCTCTCGGGGTTGCAATGAATAACTTCTGCTGCGAATTCCACGTAGGCGTCCGGAAGGATATCTGGCCAATAAACACTTGAGCATCATTCAGTTGCTCTGACTCTACCCCGATGCAAAGGATTATAAGGTCATTTTAAAAAATCATAGTCATAGAATATTGTACCTGCAGTTGAGAAAAAGGTATTGAAAGCAAATTACTTAGATGACTTATATAAATAAGTTGAACCATGTACATATTATTAAAGCACAAAATGAAGAAGCAAACTAATAATTTGCTAATTTAGAATAGAACTGGATTTTAATTACTATTGATAAAAAATAGTAGCTTTTGATTAGAGTTTGACTTTGAAGGCAATTCATTCAGTTGGTTTTTTTAAAAGGACGTTTATAACCAATTTCATTGTATTTAAGTACAATGACAATAAATATTATACTTACTAATTTGAAAAGGAAGATCAACATATGCAATGTTTTGTTAGTAATTCTGATAGCACCTGTTGTGTTATATGGAGGTACTTCTTCTTTGGCCCAGTTGTGAATACAACTGAAATAGGAGATATTCCTAAATTATTAAATTTTCATGGTTAATTTACAACTGATTTTTATTTTGCTTTTATTTATCTTTTCTCATTTGTTATAGAAAACAAGAATAATAATTCATATGAATATGTAAATATGTATGTTCATTTAAATAAAGTTTTATTCACATGTGACTACCCGAGTCACCCTAATATATAGTTCCATGAGGCCCAGAAAGCAAATTTAGTGTTTCCATTCTTTGCATAAAATTTAAGTCATTAAGAGTATGAGTTGTTTCAGGGACACACAGATCTTGAATAAATTTGCTTTTGCAGAATGATTGGATTTCCACTCTACAAATGTGCTGGATGACAGCAGATGTGATTTTACTTCTTATTCTATAAATCCTCAAAATATGTTTCTGGGGATTGGACAGTGGACCACACCATGCCTTGTTCTGTCAGGTGTCCTTCTCTTCTTTTTTGTAGGGGAAGATTGCCCTTTTTGGATGATTCCCATTACCATTTGTACAAGTGATGACCCAACCCATGCCAAAATGCAAGTATTAATGGACAAACCTGAGTTAAGTTTAATTTTGAAAGATGTGAAGCCAGAACAGTGGATTAAGGTGAGTAATAATAAAAAGGAGATATTCCTCTCTAAGTATATTTCTGATTCTCCAACCTATTGCCTTATTTTATTCTTCCTAGTTAGTATCTTGATTAGTTGGAAGAAAAGAGAACAGTTGCATTTTTTCCCCAGAGTTACCCTGTTCTCTTAATGTAATGCCGCCAGTAACCCATATAGAAGGATACTGTAATTGTTTCTTTCATGTTCAGTCTATGCTTTTAGTGTAAGCTCCCCATAAGAGTTTATTTTGTTTGTTATTAAATGCTCAATAGTAAAAAAAACAGTAAAAAAAACCCTACTGTAACATTGTAGCTGTCATTGGTATTGGGAAAGATTTAATGACCATTCATGATAGAGCTAGTTTTTGACTTGTTGATCCAGTTAAAATTCATTGTTTAACAGCATCTCAATAGAAATGACTTTCCATTACAAATAATTAACTGTGTGCATTCCCTACAGTTTTTGTCATCTCTAAGTACTTAGATTTCTTGCTTTACTGCTGAGTTTCTTTTAGTACTATAAAGTTCTTTTCTAACAATCTGATATTGAGTCATAATTATCTTGACATAATTTTGCCAGAGATTATCGTATTATTGATAATCTAAACAATTATAACTTCCATCTCTTCCAATATTTATTTTATAGGAGTAGATTTTTCAGAGGCTGTTGTTTTGTCCATATTGATCTTTTATAAAAATTACTTTATTTTACTATGTACCGTAATATATATGTCAAAACAGTAACAGTAGTTTTGTATTTAGTACTATTATTTTCTTCAATATGCTACATTAAGCAATCCCGTATCCTTCACTTGACTAAAATGATACAGGTCTAGAAGATCTCTGTTAGTGTCCCCAACACTTTAATTGCATAAGAGATGTTATCACTTCGTTTACCAAAGTTAGAAAATTGTTGATACATTTAAGTAATAAATAAGACAAGATGTTGATCATAGCATTGCTGAAGGAAATGTCAATTGATATCAAAATTGGAAGACTCTCTTTGTGCATCTTACCATTACTGCTCCTTTCTTTTACCAGATGAGGTTACAAGTAATTCTGGCTATAAAGAGGACATATATCAGTATTGTCCAGTGACTTCATGTCATTATTTACCAGGTTTAGATTCAAGGCTCAGTTTTTCCCAGATCATTTAAATTTAAATGCAGATAAATTAAATCAGACAAATCATAGTTTAATTCTCTTAAAGTCTTATTCACTGTAAGTTTAGTTTTTCCAGGTGATAAATCTAAAACATTAACAGTTGTAAAATAAAACTATATATCCCTACATACATGTAGTTAAGATGTATCAAACCAAGTATTTTAAAATAAAGGTAAATATATCTTTGACCAGTTTATTCTTGCTTTCATGTAGCAACATAAAATTTAGTTATTGCTCACCTTAAAGGAGAAGATTCTTGTACATTTTATCTAGTTTCTATGTCTCTAACAACAATGAGCCGACTGGAGAATTATCAACTTCATAATTAAATAACTTTTATTTTGCTTTTGTCCTTGCTGAAACAACTCCTCCTTTTGCGAAGCTGGTGATAACAGAATATTTTACAAAATAAAAAACTTTATTAAAAAAGAATATTTTACAAATAGTCCTTGATTTTTGTGAAGTTGTTTAATTATTGTTCAGAGTTACAACAGCCTCAAAAAACTCATGGGACATAAAGCACTTCTGGGCATCATAAAATGTAATACTACCACCATGCATATACAACTGGTTGGCAAGGACCCCCGTGGTCATGTGATTTCCATTTGCAGTATTCTCTGTCTGCTTTCCCAGAAAGTCAATTGGAAAGCTGGCAGGAAAGCTTGCAACCAGAGAGGAGAGAGGGAAGCCAAAATACTTTGGCGGGCTGTAGGAACAGAGTAGAAATCTTTAAGATTTCTCCTCTATATAAATCTTTGTGATTTTGCTTTTGTGTTGTCTTTCCCTTGTATATGGAAGTGAGAGGAAATCCTTTGGCAGGCAGAGATGTTAAAGAGCAAAACAACTATCTGCTGGGAGGATTTCAATTCTGCATGGAGCTGAAATCCTTGAGCAGTCAGCTCTTTTTCATTCTATCCTTAGGACTTAGGACTTAGGACATCACTTAACAACCACAATCAGGAGTGGTGGAATTGCTGCTGTAGAGCAAATCAGTCAGTGAGCATTTCAATTATCACGTCACTCAGTGAACAAGATTTCAGTCTCAATTATGATCATATGTTAAGGGTTACCTGTATATTATTATTAGATGTTATTAAATGCCATGTTATTCTGTTCTCTATATTTGGTTTAATGTTGGATGCCTTTGTGGTTTTCTCCAACTGCTAACTGAATCTCACTCCCAACGTTTTCAGCTAAATCTGGGAACAGTGGGATTTTATCGGACACAGTACAGTCCTGACATGCTGGAGGGTTTACTACCAGCTATCCGTGATCTCTCCTTACTCCCTGTGGACAGGCTAGGGCTGCAGAATGATCTCTTTTCCTTGGTAAGTAGATATCTCTTTCCTTTTATTAACCTTTTTTCCCTTTTCCTTTTTACCTTGTCTCCTTTTTCTTTCTCCTTTAAGAATCACACTACATTTGGAAGCACAATATATTTTGAATTAATGAACTTCATATATATTTTGGTAATAAAAAATCTCTGCAGTCCTTAACTAAAGTGCTCTTTTCTAATAAATTGATTCTGACTTCATGTCAATAGCTTTAAATATGAAATACACTGAAGCATGAATAAATGACATATATGAAGTACCAGATGGAAATCCAAACACCCCTGAAAAGTATTCTGCAAGCTGAGTAAAATTTTTATTTAAAGTACTCTGAAAGCTTGAATCCTGCTATTTCTATTATTTTTCATTATTAGATTCTCGGAAGCAATCTTCTGATATTTCATTTAAGAAATATCTGGGATTTTGTAACTATCAGTTACTGTGCTAGCAACTTTTTATTTTTAAGAACAAGTATGGAATTCCCCATCAAGTGCTAAACTGTGCCCTTGTTGAGTGTGGCATATACAGGATCTTGTCAGTATTATTCCCCACTACCTTGTGAGGAAACTATATTCCACACAACTTATGCTGTGTTGTTTTTAGAGATGTTTTCAGAATCAGGATATTAAATTGAATGACCTCCACAATTTTCTGTTTTGTTTCATGCCACCTCAATAAACCAGAATAGATTGATTTCAGGGTTGTTAATTTCAACTCAAAAATTAATTTGGCTCTTTCTTTAAAGATGCTACTTATTCTTCAAATGTTAATGCTTTAAGATTTATAATAATAAAATATAATGTAACGCTGAAACCATAGTGGCTTGTGAAGGATTTGGAACACACATTCATTTAATGGAGAATACCAATCAATCAGTTTGAACTTTTCAATCACCAAAGTGACTTGAATTGCTTTCAAGTTCATGAAGAAACTATTATCAATTGCCGACATCCACAAATACACTAGAGGTAATCCTTGACTTACAACCAGCTGTTTAATGGCCATTTGAAATTATGGCAGACTTTTAAAAAGCTATTTACAACAATTATGCCTCCCCCTCTGGTCCTGTAATTGCATTTTGGGCACTTGGCAACCAACTCACATTATTAGAGGCACTTTTGCAATCACAAGAATGTGATTTGTGATTTTTTTTTTGCCAATTTTCAGCTAAAACAACCCTGGATATGCTATTATATTATGACCATGTGGTTCTCTTAATCATCATGTGATTCACTTAACAAATGTGGAGACTCACTTGTAAAAATAGTGGTAAAATTGAGTCCAGCCATGTGGTGAGTTGACTTATGACTACAACACTTAGAGCTGAAATTCCAGGGTCCATTGTGGTCATAAGTTGAGAACTACCCATAGTTGCAAATGATTGGCGGCTAGAATTTTCAGAATTGTAAATTATTAGTACTAGCTCACTTGCCCTGTTTTTTTGAAATCATAGAAATAGCAATATTCTTCTGTTGTTATTTACTACTTTCATGACTCGGATTGATAGAAGTTTCTAGCTCTGTATTGACACTCTACCTCTTGTTAGATATATTCTAAATGACTCTGTATAATTTATAGCAAGGACCCAAGTGCTCTTTTGTAAGATTGAATATTTCTTTTGGTTTGGAGTATAACTTACTTGTTTTTCTTCTCTCAGGCCAGAGCTGGAATTATTAGCACTGTAGAGGTTCTAAAAGTCATGGAAGCTTTTGTGAATGAGCCCAACTATACTGTGTGGAGCGACCTAAGCTGTAACCTGGGGATTCTCTCAACTCTCTTGTCCCACACAGACTTCTATGAAGAGATTCAGGCATTCATCCGTGATATCTTTTCACCAATAGGAGAAAAACTGGGCTGGGACCCCAGGCCTGGTGAGGGTATGAAGATTTATGAATACTTTGATCTTTCAGTAATTTAGTTTTTTCTTGCGGCTTTTTGTTGTCAGCGACTGAAACTTTCAAACTATTTAGGAATAGGTGGCCAACTTTGATGGTTTCCCCTGGAAACTATAGTGCTAAGGTTTGCTATGGCTTTTTCTTCAGTTTTAGATGGTTGAACTGCCGAGGGTCTGGTTTATGTTTGGAATAAGACAGAAGACCCAGAGTGAATAGAATTAATCAGAAGAAAGATTCCATTAGTAATCTTAACCTACAATATGCCAGCTATTCCTTTCACCTTCATTTCATATATTCCAGGTATTATGTATAATGTACAGATAGATTGGATATATTAAAAATATTTAGAATATGATCCATGTATTTCTTCTAGATTTCTCACCAGCATTGGTGCCATTAATTATGATGAATAGTTAGATTAATTATATAAATAAACGATAGCATAAGAAGTGATGATTCTTTTTCTCTTCTATCTGAAGTTGCTTGATCTGTTCAGGGGATGTCAGTGAAGACAAAAATCTTACAGAACTAAGTCAGAAGTTTTTTGTAATGAGAAGAAGGCACCAAGCTTTGTTCAAAGTTCAAAACAGCAGAGGCAAAATCAGAAATTTGAAAGAGTAGCCTTAGAAGTAATCAAGAGGGAAGTTCTTCTTGGTGCCACTTTCAAAATTTCTTTTTCCTCTTCAAGTGGATGAGAATTCATTCAAGAGAACGATGATATTGTTGGAGATAGTCATCTGGGACCATGAGTTGAAATGTTATTAGTAAGTGTATGATATCTAGCTATACTTCTGGGTTACATTTGTGTACTGTAGAGAATCTATACAGAGTTCTAAAACTGAGTAAATGGGAACAGATTGACATTTAATTCAGGAAACACTGAAGTACTGTGACTTGCAAACTAAATCCTCTGGCTGGGTATTCACAAGTAGTCTTTGATATGCTTTCTTTGAAAGACGCATGCATTTTACAGTATTTGGATAAGCTGAATTAGTTGTAGGAGCCAGGAATATGCTGTATCAGTTTAAGCTGTATGCAATATATGGGTCCATCTGGAGAAAGTTAATTTTGCTTTATGTTTTCTAAATGATATACTGATACACTTTATACCAAACTTTCTTTAAAGATAATACAGAAACTTCACTTGATTCAGAATGAAGAGATCTATGTCAGGGGTGTCAAACTCATGTCTTCATGGTGTCACATGATGTATCGGGACTCCCCCCCTGCTAAACTGGGTGTGGGCGTGACCAGCACGTTACTCATCCGGCCTATGGGCTGGGAGTTTGTCAGCCCTGATCTAAGTGATGGTGTATGACAAAGTAGATGGACCTAGAGATTCCTGTATATTATCCTATGATAGTTTACTATACATTTCCAAATCTAAGATGAAACCATTTTTTAAACTCTGTACTGTTTATGACTAAATTGGTCTTAAACCGTGACCCTATTTTAAAATCAGGAATAGAGGATTGTCTTTTATTCACCTATTGTAAAAAAACCTTTTTCATAATAGTTTCATACCGCTATTAAGTTAGTTTGCTATCACAAATCCATTTGATTAGGCATTTATAAAAGGCCTAATACCCATGTACTATCTTGGAGATTTTTGTGATTATTTCATTTTATTGCATTATTATTTCTAGCTATAGTTGAGTTAAATTTTAGGCTAGATATATTTATCTGAAGTTGTTGATTTTTATTGTTGCAGTTTTATTATTATTGTATGGAATTTTTAAAGATTTTGTTATTAAAAGTGGGGTTTAAATATTTAAATAAATAAAATAAGTCTTCAAAACATTTACATATATGTCTGTCCCTTTGAGTACTCACTATTCAAAAACAGTTTTATACTGGGCTCAAATCCCCGATGAACTATCACCAAAGCCGCATTTATCAGGATATTAGATTATCATGTGCTTAAATATGATCAAGGAACTAATCTCACAATTCATTCAATTATTCCTGATTCCTCTATTACCTCTACATTTTGGATTTTTCTTTCAATAAAAAAAAATGCAGTGAGGGTGTGCAAAGACCTGATAAGGATGAGCAATAACTTGCAGAGTGGCAGAGGACAACTGGATCTACAGATGACTCCTTTGTGATCCTGATTAACCTTTAAATCTACCCATTAGAATCTCCCCCCACCCACCCCAAAAAAAACCCCCAATGATGGAGCAACAGAAATGATGTTTCTTGAGTAACTCTACTTTATTGCAGTACTAAGAACTCTTCTTTAATCCTGGTAAAAAGTGCTGGCTATTAAAAACAAGCAAATTCTAGGCAGATTGCGTTAGCCAAAATCAAATAGGATTATGTCTGTCATTCAAGTCATTGTTGTCCCAAAGCTGCTTTTTCAAGAGGCAAACAGACTTTATTTTTCCTTGAAGACGTTTTGCTTCTCATCCAGAACTGAAGCACCTTCTTGGGACAAACAGGATTATATAGATTGAAGCCTATATATGATTTGATGCATAAAAATCACAATATATCTTAGCATATCATTGGAACCTAATCAGAATATCAGGCAAGCATTTACAGTGAAATATACTGAAGGTTGCAGTTCAACTGATAGTACCTCTCTAAAGCATGTTGCTTCTGTTATATGTCAGCATGGTTTTCTTTGACGATTCAATCCAGATAAACCCTTTATTCAAAACATTGGTGTTGAGTTCACTTTTTCTCATTAATACTATTCATACTCACATATTTCATATCAATGTTGTTAGATACCAGAATCAGTTACAATTGTTTCCACCGAGGTCCTCTGTTCCGGCGGGAACAAAGATTCAACCTGATTGGTCGAAGGGTCTGACAGCTCCCTATAAAATGGCTGCTGTCAGACTGAACCTTCGCTGTATTGTACATAGTTGTTACTGACTTAATAAAGAGCTGTTGTTGCCTAAGCCTGAGTGTGCCTTTCGTTTACCTGATCCAACACTGGCGACGTGGATGGGATCAGAAGGCAACTAGGCAAACAAAAAGAGCACAACAATTCAGCAAGTGAATCCAGCCCGGAGTTCAGTGCGGCATCAAGCAGCTGTCTTTTGAGCGGCTAATTCAGATGCCCTCAGAGACACAAGATGGCCATGCACACCCCACCGACTCTGTACAACCCAGTCACCGAGCACTGGAAATCCTACATGCTGAGGTTCGACTGTTTCCTCAAAGCCAACAACCTCATGGGCCTTTCTGAAGGTCGAAAAAAGAACATGTTCCTGAGCTATTGCGGACGAGAAATGTTCGAGACTGCAAAAGACTTTTCCAAGCCAACGCCACTCCAATCGGTGGCTTGGTCGGTGTTACAACAGATGCTGAGGATACACTACGCTCCCAGACTGTCTAAACATGTCAAAAGGCACAAATTTAACATTCGCAAGCAGAAAGAGGGTGAATCCATCGATGAATGCCTTGTGGCACTAAGAAAGGCCGCAGTGTACTGCGAGTTTAGAGATCTCGATGAACTGCCACTTGACCACATCATATGCGGTGTTAGGGACATTGGCCTGCAGAGGAGGCTACTAGCGAAATCTAACCTGACGCTTCAAATCGCTCTAGATGAAGCCAGAGCCACTGAGTCCGCCGTTAAATCGATGGAAACCTTGCAGCGCCAAAACAGTCCTAAAAGTGCGCGGAAGAGCACAGGTGTGCATCGCGAGGCTATAGAGCCTAAAGGCTCAGCGTGTGAAGATGACAGCGACTGCATGCGCATTGGTACTGCATGCGTACCAAGCTGGCGTGAAAATTCAAACCGTGTTTGCTGCCTTGCGCCGGCTGCGGAGATCATCTCAGATCACATTGCCGTTTCCCACGACGCAATCTGCCAATGCTGCAATTGAAAGGGGCACAGCGCCAAGGTTTGCAGGAACGATCACCCCGCTACAACCTGGAAGCCCAGAAACCGACCTAACCGCCAGCAGAGGCCCAACCAAGGGGCATGGCAGCCACCACCACGGCAAACAGAAGGCGACACCAGAGTCACTACCACACCTCCATAGGCCAAGTCCGCACGAAGCAGCCAAAAAAGCTGAAGGTCACAGTCCTCATCGAGGACTCTCCATGTGAAATGGAGATTGACGCTGGGTCATCCCTGACCATAATGCCTTGGGCAGTACTCAAGTACGCTATCCCTAGCCTCAAGAAGCAGCATCTACGGGTTCCTGACATCCGCCTTCGCGACTACCAGGGGAACTGAGCCCCCATCATGGGCCAGGGCACCTTCCGGGTGCAATTCTTTCTGCAGCCAGCTACCAGTGACGGTAGTCAACTAAAAGCGCGCGGAAAAGCGCAGGCATGCATCGCGAGGCTATAGAGCCTGAAGGCTCAGAGTGTGAAGATGACAGCTACTGCATGCGCAGTGAACGCACCAAGCTGGTGTGAAAATTCAAACTGCGTTTGAACCTGCAGAGTCTCCTGGGGCTTGACTGGTTCGAAGCCCTGGGCCTAGAAGTGACCAGAATCAATGCCATACAAGACGAAAGCACTGGGGAACTCCTTAAGGAATTGAGGACGTCTTCGGCCCCGGTCTAGGTATGTGGGGACCCCAATATCCTTTAATTTGGACCCCAATGTATCCCCCATCAGGCTAAAACCCAGGAGAGTATCTTTTGCTCTTCGCCCTAAAATTGATTTGGAACTGGACAAATTAATAGGCCAGGGAATCCTAGAGCCAGTAGATCACACACACTGGGAAACACCTGTTGTGACACCTGTCAAATCTGATGGGTCAGTCCGCATCTGCGCAGACTACAAATGCATGATAAACAAAGCTTTGCAACAAAGCGCTTATCCTGTATCCAATGTACAGCATTTACTACATTCATTAGGCCCCGGAAAAATTTTCGCAAAATTAGGCATGGCGCAGACATACCTGCAGTTGCCTGTAGATGGCACCACAGCGGAGGCCCAAACCATTGTGATGCACAGGGGTGCATTCAAATGTAACTGCCTGCAAGTTGGAGTTAGTATCGCCCCTGGACTGTTCCAAAGCGTTATGGAACAGCTTTTGCAGGGGATTCCAGGACTCGTTGACATCTTGGTATCGACTGCAAATAAGGCACAATTATTTAAACGATTGAGATTTCTTCTGGCCAGAATCAGAGAAGAAGGCCTCTGCCTCAAAAAGGAAAAATGCCAAATTAACGTGCCAAGGGTTGAATTCCTGGGGTACCTCATCAATGGCTCTGGGATTCACCCGACCGACAAAAAAATTAAGGCAATCCAGGATTCCCCTACACCTCGCAATCAGACAGAGCTGCAGGCGTTCCTCGGGCTCCTTAACAAACAGAAAACCATAGTTGTTGAACCGTTACATTGATGACTTGCAAAGAACGCAAAGTGGTCCTGGGGCAAAGCCGAAGCAGCCGCATTTGCCATGGTGAAGAGACTGCTGGCAGCAGACACATTTTTGAGCCAATACAGCCAGACCCTGCCACTTGTTCTTATGTACAATGCTTCCCTCTTCGGCGTCGGAGCCATCGCATGCCAAATGGAACTGAGGCGCCTATCGCCTATTACTCACAAACCTTGTTTGCTGCCGAGTGGAACTACAGCCAACTGGACCGTGAGGCTCTGGCTGCAGTTGCCGGCGTTAAAAGTACCTCTACGGCCGTGATTTTGAACTCATCACGGACCACAAACCACTTCTAGGCTTGCTGGCTGGGGACCGGCCTACTCCTGCTTCTTTGTCACCGCGAATGACCAGATGGACAATCTTCCTCGCGGCCTACAGTTATCGCCTTGTCCATCAACCTGGCTCTACATTGGGCATGCCGATGCCTTGAGTTGATGCCCACTACCTGAACTGCTTGCAGACCCTATCCCCGAGATGCCAATCCTCCTCATTGACTGCCTAGAGACTGGTCCTGTCTTGTCTAGTGACGTTGCCTGCCACTCTGCTAGAGACGCTACACTCAAACAAGTTTTGAACTGGGCGTGAAGGGGATGGCCCAGGGGGCCTGTTGGGTCCGAATTTAAAATGTTTTACTGCAAATGGGATGAATTGTCTGTAATAAACTATTGTCTACTGTGGGAGGACCAGGTTGTTGTTCCACCCAAACTGCGCATTGCAGTATTAGAGGCTTTGTACGTAGGGCATCCTGAAATTGTCAGGATGAAGTCTTTGGCCAGGAATTATGTGTGGTGGCCTAACATGGACACAGAGAGAGAAGAATGGGTGGCTACCTGCACACTATGCCAGGAGTCCAGACCAACTCCCTCAGAGGCGCCCGCTAAGGAGCAGGAATGACCTCAAGCACCATGGTCTAGGGTGGCCCAGTTCATGGCCAGACTTTCCCTACTCGAAATGGCTAGAAGTAGTCTTTATTACCTCTACCACGGCGGAGGCAGTCATCAAGGCACTACAGAGACTTTTCTCCACTCACGGCCTGCCCAATGTCTTGGTCTTTGACAATGGACCCAAATTTATGGCCATGCAGATCGACAACTTACTTAGCAGCACGGGGAATCAGACATGCCCTGGTTGCTCCATTCCATCCAGCCTCCAATGGTCAGGCAGAGAGAATGGTGAGATCTGCAAAAAGAGTCCCTTTCCAGGATGGACCCTGGAGATTGGCAAACACAGGTTGATCGATTTTTTCTTATACAGTACATCACACCAAGTGCTACCACTGGCACAAGCCCTTCCAAGCTTCAAATGGGTTGCCGGCTAAGGTCCCACTTAGACCGGCTACACCCAAACTACTCTGCTGTATCACCCCCTGATTCAACAAACAAAATAAGGAACTTTAGCGTAGGGGATTCAGTTTATTCCCACAACTAGGCCGGGGGAACTCTGTGGATTCCTGCCACAGTGCTTGGCATCACCGGACTTCACTCTTACCTAGTAGAACTCGAGGTCATTCGGAATTGGAGACGGCACATTGACCAACTCCGTGGCCACCTCTCCAACTCCTATCTTAGACAACCAGAGGTAACTCCTGCACGAATTAGCCAAAGCCCTAGCCAAAAGGAGCATGAAGTCACTCCTTCCACAGACAACTCAAGCCCGAAGGTGCTGGGGGACTTATCTGCTAGTGTTGCAGGCCTACAGCGAGCTCCAAGCGAACTGGCTCTAGAAGCTCCAGCCGCGGCCTGGGAAAAGTTCCAGGAACTTCCACCAGGCGAAGCTGCAGAGTCAACAGGTCAGTCCAACCTGACTGGAGAACACCCAACAACTGAACTGCCCAGGTCTGGGCGAGCTACCAGAAAGCCTGCCTACCTGCGTGACTATGTCACAAGTCAGTTGATCCCATCTAAGAGGGGAGGGGTGTTAGATACCAGAATCAGTTACAATGGTTTCCACCAAGGTCCTCTGTTCCAGTGGGAACAGAGATTCAGTCTGATTGGTCGAAGGGTCTGACATCTCCCTATAAAAGAGCTGCTGTCAGACTGAACCTTCGCCGGATTGTACATAGTTGCTACTGACTTAATAAAGAGCTGTTGTTGCCTTTAGCCTGAATGTGCCTTTCCTTTACCTGATTCAACAAATGTCATGGAAAATACTTAAGTTTTTTGCAGGTCTAGGACATAAACTTTTGATGTTGGCATTCATGATAGTTGCTGAAAGAACATTGTTGAGATTATAGGAAATTAAGAACTGAATATTTTATAGAACATTTCATAGATTTCATGCTCAAGATTTTGGGAGTCCTTTTCAGTTCAGAGTCTGTGATCAGATCAGATTCATACTATATATGTATGATGGTTCCACCACAAAACCGCGGACGACAAAATTGCGGTCGACGAAAGCGCGTATGTGACGTCATCACAGCGCGACGAAAAAGATCGAAAAATGTAAAAATAAAGCGAAAACCTTACCCTAACCCCCCCCAAACCTAACCCTAAACCTAACCCTTAACCTAACCCTAAACCTAACGCTAACCCTTAACCTAACGCTAAACGTAACGCTAACGCTCTAAACCTAACCTTAACCTAACCCTAACCCTAACCCTTAACCTAACCCTTACCTTTATGTGAATCGGCTTGCTGTAATTTAATTTTTATTTCAATTTTTTGATCTTTTTCATCGCGTTGTGATGACGTCACATACGCGATTTCGTCGACCGCGCTTTTGTGGAACGCGGTTTTGACGGGTCACGATGTATGATAAGGTTTTTAAAAAATATAACGTTCTTATTTCTTTTTATTTTCCATTAGGTCATCTAGATGCACTTCTGAGAGGTTTAGTTTTGGGCAAGCTTGGAAAAGCTGGACATAAGGCAACATTGGAAGAAGCTCGACGACGGTTCAAAGATCATGTGGAAGGGAAGCACGTCCTGTCTGCTGATCTAAGGAGTTCTGTAAGTTGCTTTCAAACATTTTGTTTAGTAATAGTTATCTAAGTTTTTCACAAAATCATCTTGATTCAAATTCTGCCTTTCATACAGAGCTGAGTTAACATGTAATTTACTCTGCTTCTGGTACTTTCCTAGTGATGTAACAGTAATGTCTTTTTAAGCAGTTTTCCATCAGCTCTCCCCAGTCTACGGTTTCTTTTCCATAAAATGTTAGATACAACCACAATCTACATAGGATAAATGTTAGTATAATAGTTGCACATTTTTGTTTTAATTCCTTAGATGAGCTTTGAACAGAGACAGATTAAACTTTTGGAGGCTGAAATGTAAAAAGGGAAGAATGTTCTAAGTTGACTGATAGGAATACGCCGACAGGAAGCTTTCTTTACATTAAAATTATTTTTTCCCCAGGTATATGTAACTGTTTTGAAATATGGTGACAGTATAACCTTAGATACTATGCTAAAGGTAAGTATGCTTTGTATTTCTGGGCATGTAAAAATTTATGGATAATATACTGTATTAGCATGCAAGATGCTCATAGGGGCCTTGCAGTTTTAATTATTGTAAACTTTGCTCTGTTCCATGATAATAACAGTAGATAGCCTTAGATATAGTCGATTTTAAATATTATTAGTTACAGTGGAAGAGATTTAAAATTATGCTTAGATCCCCTTCATTGCAATGGAATAATTTAAAATATTAGTTAATATTTTTCAGTTTCTCTCCTCAATCCCTCTCTCTCTTTCTCTCATATTTAGCCATATTATTCATTCCTGAGAATGGAGGAGAAATGAATTATATAAATTAAATAAGGCTTGGTTAATGATAAGCCTCCCCAAAAGCTATAGCGTGTAATTAACTAACGTACATTATAAAAAAAATTTTTACACAAAATTGGCAATTACAACAAAGGAATCTGTGGCCTTTTAGATGTTGCTGGATTTTCAGCTTCGTTTTGCCTAGTGAGAATTTTAGCACACCAACATGATCTCCATCTTTCATCCAGTTTTTTCTCTCAGTAATTTAAAATTGATAATTTTTAAAACAATGTTGCCATTGGAAATTATAGGAAACTACATAAGTGACTTCCATCTCATCAAGAAATTGCTTTCGACTGCTGTGGCTGTTGATTTGGCATTTTCATTTTCAAAATATTTTCTTTTAAATATGTCTTCCACTCCCTAATATGCACTTCATTTTCCTCCCAAAGTATTGCTTCTGGTTATGATTTTCATTGTCATAGGTGATGAGCTGACTTGCTCATCTAAATTTCTTGCTTTCTTCCTTCTGAGGAAAAGGACCGAATCTCTGTTTGAAAGCTACATATCAGGAGCCCTTTTACAAATCTTAGGCTGCAAATTGTCCCTTTATATCACAACTTTAACCATTTTTGCCTATCATATTGCATTCTAAAACATATTTCCTTTCAATTTAGCAAGCTAGTTGGTCTCCACATCTGTTCATGGGACAAAGATGTGTTCCTACTACAGAGTTAACTTTTCTTGACCCCTGGTTGTACTAAGTTCTGCAGAAGAGTATCAACCTAAGTGACATATTTAAATAGCATAGTTCAAAACAAATGTCATAAGTAAAATAAATGGAAACAGTTTGGAAAATGCTCCTTTAGCCATTGTGTAGAAATAATATATCATCTATTGGTTCAGCTGTAAACCTTGCAACTGCAGTACTGGGAAATGTAGCCAAATTTTGATGACATTCCCACCCACAACTAACTGGCAAATATTCCTTTGTGTTTTACTCATTGGCCATAATGTCGAGAAGCTGAGAGGTTTCTAATTTAGCTTCTCTCGTCCTAGTTTAGAGTAGAATATGACAAGGAGGAAGAAGTCTAATATCACTTGCCATTTGCTATTGTTATTTTGTTTTTTGCAGCTCCACAAGCAAGCTGATATGCAGGAAGAGAAGAACAGAATAGAACGTGTACTTGGTGCAATATCTCAGCCAGAATTAATACAGAAAGTTCTTACTTTTGCACTTTCAGTGAGTAAGATGCCACTTCACTAAGTTTATATCCTATGCATTGGAAGCAACAGAAGAATGGAATTGAAAATTTAGTACCATTTTCAGCATCCTGAGGATACTGCTTTCCATCTCCTTTTCCCCTTAAATATATAGAACTAATATATAAGCAAAGCTTGAAATCCAAGAAAAGGAGATAGACTGAACAGCTGTTGGTGTTGCAGTTGTCGTTGTAGTTCCTTGGTCCTTCCAGAAACTTAGCACGACCCAAATAAATTATGCAGAGTAAGCGTGATATATGAGGTGGATGAGACAAAATAACAGAAAAGGGGTTGTAAAAATGAAATAACTGTCCTGTTTCTTTCACATTTCACATTAATTGCATTTTTGTATCTTCATCTAAAGTTGCCCCCAAAGTAAGCTTGGCCAGCTAGAGCATCTGACATTATTCCCCTTTCTTAAACACAACTAAGGAACAATAGCTTCTATAGGCATTGGAGCAGAGGAAACAGGCCAGCATCGAAACCTCTAGGGTGTGGCTGAATCTTTTTTTGGACTAAGCACAGGCAGCATCAGATGCATCAACCCTTTCCAGCCTCATTCCTTTTTGAAAAGCCAAATTTCAGCAGTCTCCTGACTGTTAAACCAGGATTAGGCGGCGGCGGCAGCCCTTCAATACTTAGATTGCCATAGTGGCCAAGAAAGGTGGTTCAACAGTATTCACACTGTTGAATCTAAAGTGAGTACATAAGTTGGCTCTTCCTATTTTCCATAGTTAGAATCAAGATGGGAAAATCAAGACCTACCAAATTTGGTGATATGGCAGGTGACTGTGGGTTGATACCTAATAGAAAAGCAGAAATGTAAAATCAAACAAACTTAACAAGACCCAGCATATTGGTTCAATGCTATGAAAAGAGACTTTTGTTCACTATACTTACATAAACTTGTGAATTCCAGATCTTTTAAACCTGACCTTCCAAAGTGAGGCAGCTTCAAAACTGATGTTCTATACTAAACCAACTGGTTAGGACTCAAAACTGTTCCAGAGCAAGAAAGAAAAGAGGAAAACCACTTATCTTATTCCAAGAGCTCATGCAAATCATATCTTTCTTCAGTGTCAACCTACTTTTGAGGCTCTTCATAAAGATACAAGAAGGAAAAAAAGAAAAGTTTTCTGTAGATGAGATGGGTGCCACATGAAAGAGAAAGAGGAAGGAAGGAAGGAAGGAGAGAGAGAAAGGAAAAAAGAAAGAAAGAAAGAAAAAGAAGAAAAGACTACCTATGGGAATACGAAAAATAAAGATGTGGAAAATAGGGGTCCTGGCTAGGCAGCATAAGAGAAAAGAGAAGGGCCAAAAAAGGATCCTGTGCTTTGAATCCTTGATTTCCTCGATCCTGTGAGGAATCAAATGAGACAGATCATAAGAGTGCCAAGAAAGGTAGCCCAGTCTTTGCATTGGGACTGATCAAGAATTAGGTGATTAAAAGCATTAGGCTGATGAAATAAGGAGCCCATTTCCAAAACAGTTCAGTGCAAGAATTGTGGTCCAATCATTAATTGTTAAAGAACTCCTAGGTGTCACTCCACCTAGGAGGCCTATATACCCAGTTCTGATAGCATATTTTTACTTAGTGAGTGAATGTTCAGGGTGGAAACAGATCAAGGACCTTCAGAAAGAGGCCATGTAAGTAATGACTTGGGCAGAGAAACACATACACTCAGTATCAGAATACATAAATGAATAACTGAATTACTTTGTGAGATTTCAAAAAGTTTTTTTAGTTTTTAGTTTTTTTTAGTTTTTTATTAGAATTTGTAGGCCGCCCTTTTCCCTGAGGGGACTCAGGGCGGCTCACATAAAACTGGGAAGGGGGGAACACAAACATCAAGATAGAAGACATATAATAAAATAGTAGGCAACATACATTCATCATTCGGGAGGGGTAACTATCCTTATCCCCAGGCCTGACGGGCGAGCCAGTTCTTCAAGGCTATGCGGAAGGTTTGGACGGTGGAGAGGGTACGAATCTCCACGGGGAGCTCGTTCCAAAGGGCCGGGGCTACTGCTGAGAAGGCCCTCCTCCTTGTGGTTGCCAGCCGACACTGGCTGGCCGATGGAATGCGGAGGAGGCCTAATCTATGGGATCTTATTGGTCGCAGGGAGGTAATTGGCAGAAGGCGGTCTCTCAAGTATCCAGATCCACTGCCATGTAGGGCTTTATGGGTGATTAATAGCACCTTGAAGCGCATCCGGAGATCGACAGGCAGCCAGCGCAGCTCGCGGAGGATGGGTGTTATGCGGGTGAATCGAGGTGCACCCGCGATCACTCGCGCGGCTGCGTTCTGCACTAGCTGAAGCCGCCGGATGCTCTTCAAGGGCAGCCCCATGTAGAGCACATTGCAGTATTCCAGCCTAGAGATCACAAGGGCCCGAGTGACTGTTGTGAGAGCCTCCCGATTCAGGTAGGGTCGCAACTGGCGCACCAGGCGAACCTGGGCGAATGCCCCCCTGGTCACAGCCGTTAGGTGGTGGTCAAATGACAGCTGTGGATCCAGGAGGACTCCCAAGTTGCGAACCCTCTCTGAGGGGTGCAAAATTTGACCCCCCAGCCTGAGTGTTGGAATATTAGTCAAATCTTTGGGAGGAAAACACAACAGCCACTCGGTCTTTTCTGGGTTGAGCACAAGCTTGTTAACCCTCATCCAGTCCATAACGGCCTCAAGACCCCGGCTCATCACATCTGCCGCTTCATTGAGTTGGCACGGGGCGGACAGATACAATTGAGTATCGTCCGCATATTGATGGTATCTAATCCCGTGCCTGCGGATGATCTCTCCCAGCGGTTTCATGTAGATGTTGAATAGCAGGGGGGATAAGACCGAGCCCTGAGGCACCCCATAATTTAGGGGCCTAGGGGACGATCTCTGCCCCCCCACTAACACCGACTGCGACCTGTCCGAGAGGTAGGAGGAGAACCACCGTAGCACGGTGCCTCCCACTCCCACCCCCCGCAGTCGTCGCAGAAGGATACCATGGTCGATGGTATCGAAAGCCGCTGAGAGGTCAAGGAGGACCAGGATGGAGGAATGTCCTTCATCTCTGGCTCTCCAGAGATCATCAATCAATGCGACCAAAGCGGTTTCTGTGCTGTAACCGGGTCTGAAGCCTGACTGGAAGGGGTCTAGGTAGTTTGCTTCCTCCAAGGACCGTTGGAGCTGAAAGGCCAAAAAGATAGTAAACCTCATCACACAATGGACCACAGACAACTGAGATGCTTTTTTTGTCAACATTTCAAGTCAACAGAGCAGAGGGGGTTGATGTTCTGATAGTACCATGGCTAGATGATTGCTCTGTACTTTCCACCAACTCTAATACTATCCAGAGTGGTGTGCAAGGAAAGATTCTCAAAGCATCAATGCTTTTAATTGCTCTATTCTGATCTGGAAGATTGTGGCTCTTTACTCTATTGGAAACGAGCAGAGAGGTCATGTGACATTTGAGAAACCTGGACATTTTGCCTCAAGGCCTACTTCTACATCCAGATTCCTGCTCGTTACATCTTTGCTCTTAGAAATTAAATGGGAAAATTTCTTGAATTTCAGGCTTTCATCATGACAGTAGAAACCATGTAGGTTTCTAGATGCCTAGCCACCACCACTGTCTATCAACTGATTTGAAGAGTGGTATAAAAGACAGACATTCGTGGCACCATCAGATGTCCCTGAAATATTGGAATTTCTATAAGCAAATAGAAAGAGAACAGCAAAATTACTATACAGTGAAGCAACTACCTTGGGCTCTGACCCCTGACTAGGTGAGGGGCATGCCTTTCTGGCCACTCTCGTATGTCTGCCTTCCTCAGAGGCACATGTCTTTGTACTCCTGGTCATCCTCTATTTCTCTTTATGGAATTTGCCATTGGTTTTTAGGACTCTTGGAACAGATATTCTTTCTGTAAGAAGAGACCTCTTTGCATTCCAACAAGACAAGATAGAAATAAAGTCAAATACCTATTTTATGCCCAAGTTCTAAATTTTACTGAGCACCAGAATTTATGGTCTCCCCATTTCTGCTAGACCATACCCATTCTGGAGAACAAACCTGGTACAAATTATATATGTGTGGTATGCTAAGAATATAATTCAAATCTTCTGGATTTTTCTGCTTGTAAGAGATAAAAATGAAGCTTTGATTTTGGATTTTGATGATTAAATAGATAGTTGTTATAGAAATATCTAGTACTTACTTTTTGTATATAAGTAAAAAGTTGATATTATAATTTTATCACGTAACTTACTGCACTGAACGAAGTTGAAAGTCAGTGTTTTGGGATTTTTCCCTTTTTCCTCACTCTATTCCCTCTTCCTTTTCCCTTTACCCTTTTTTTCTCATTGTCTTAATTTTCATTTATATTTTATATGTCAGAAAGAGAGGGAGAAGGGGGGGAGGAAGAGGGGAGGATTATTTATTTTATAAATTCAAATCAACGTGGTTTACTACATTTCATTTATAGGAAGAGGTACGTCCTCAAGACACAGTATCGGTCATTGGGGGAGTTGCAGGAGGCAGCAAGCAGGGCAGAAAGGCTGCCTGGAAGTTCGTCAGAGACAATTGGGAGGAACTTTACAATCGCTACCAGGGAGGGTTCTTAATATCCAGGCTAATAAAGGTATGCACAAAAAGTCATGGCTATGGCAATAAAGCTTTTTTAAAAAATTCATGGCAAATTTTATGTTCATGCTTCTTTTTTCAGCTATCAGTGGATGGATTTGCAATTGACAAAATGGCTTCAGAAGTTAAGGTAAGACTACTTAATCAATATCTTTGTGCTGCCCTTCTGATTACATGCCAATGATTGAAATGATTCTTTTCCTCTATTGCACCATCCTCACTGAAAGAGGGAATGGGGTAAGGGAGTTCTAGCCCTTGACTCTCTCAGCACTGTGTTCTCTGACTTAGCATTTATAGATTTAGGTATTTATACTACAATTTCAGGCTATCCAGGATGTGCGGAAGTTGTAGTCTAAATATCATGGTTACCAGGTAATTTAATCAGCTAGAACACTGGAATTTCCCATAAAGTTTGGAATAATAAATCATTGACTAATTACTGGCTTATGTAGATTACATTCTGCCACAATCATTGTGGGATTTAGGAAAATGAACATATAAAAACTTAGTTTTAATTAAAATCAGAAAAAAGATGGGCAGAATATTCAGCGACTTGGTAAATTTCATCTTTGGAAAATCATTGAGAGTCAAGCATCATGTAAGTTTAAATTATTAGTATTGCATTCATACTAATGAATTCTCCTAAGTTGGTGGAGACAGTGGCCATGCATGGGTTAACTCAGCCAGTAACCAATAGAACTGAGTCTACCAAAGTGATGTCATCGCCTCTGAGGAGTGTCATCCCGCTTTTTTAGACTCAGTTCGATCGGAACTGGCTATGCTAATTGCTCTCTCCTCAACTTTTCTCTCAAGTATTTTTAATTGACTAATCTATTGATTTAATTGGCTTATTCTACAAAAAGATTGACTTCTAAATTCCTAGGGAAGGACAGATCGTCGTCCATAGGTCCTCTTGGAGCCTGGGCTCTCAATTAGCCCCAGAGCTTCTTAAAAGGTACTGCCAGGGTTTATTTGAAGGCTTAGGGTCTCCTGACTTCCACGAGGCTTTGCAAGGCTTTCCTGAATACAGCGTTGCCTAGCACTGGCCATTGGAGGCCCCGCTTAGTGCTACAGCCTCTGCTGGCTCTCCCTTGCTGCCGAATGCCACCAATGCTGCCAAATGCTGCCACCACCACCACCGGGAACACACCGCCACTACACACCACCGCTGCTGGCAAGTGCTCCCGCCACCGCTAGATCACCACTGCTGTCCCCGGCACCTCCACAGGTTCTCCGCAGGGCCCTCACCGCCCTCTCTCCTTCTGCGGCCTCGGCTACCTTTTGGTGCCTGGCCCATAGGCTCTGTAGCCTCAGCGGCCATTTTGTTTTAGCATGAAGAAGCTCTGGTGGCCATTTTGAATCCCTCCTTCGGAACTTCACAGTCGTGAGTACAGACCATGGTCTCCTCTCCTGCCCAGGACCCACAAGTGCCACCAACCATCTTGGCTCCTGCTCCCACCACCAAGCCTCCTTCATCTGGGACCCATAGGCACAGACCTGCCCCGGAGGCTTCTCCCACTGCGCCCCCTTCCAAGACTTCCAGGCCTAATCACAGGAACGCAGCCAATCCACCTTTTCAGGAAGATGGCAATGCCACTCAGGTAACTCCTAGAAAGGCCAGAGGCAAGTCCAAACACACAGAATCCCATCTGTTTCAGCCCCGGAGGCCTGTCCGGCCTAGCCCTCCTCCTGACCTATCTTCTGATTTGGAGGATGATCTCTCTCCTGCAGTTTCCATTATTCAGCCTGAGGAACCCAGGGGCGCAGACGATCTGGGCTATAGTGGGGAGGAATCCGAAGGTGACAGGAGTGTCACTCCAGATGGGGAGCCCTTGTACCAGGAGGACATCTCCCCCCCTCCTGCCACCGCCGTTCTTACTCACCTGGCACGGGTGATATCATCTCTGAGGCCATTGAGCAGGGCATAGCAGCAGATCTTAAGTACAGGACTTCTAACCATTCTACTCCTTGCAGGTCTGCGTCTTCTTCTAGTTCCAGGCGCAGGAATGGTGATCTTTCGGCCTCTTCATCACAGGAGTTACTAGGCACGTCCAGCCAGCCATCTGTTTTCAGAGAGGAGGAACGCCCTGCACGGGATTCAGATCTTTCATAAGACGAGGGCCTTTCCCCAATCCACTTACCTTTGTCAGTCTCTTTAAGCCTGCTGTCCTTCGTTCTCTTCTCTTTAAGGCCAAAAAGATCGCTGGCATCCCTTCACCCAAGGGGCCTCAGGGAAGGGATGCAGACAAAGCAGACACCACTGACCCACTCTTCATCCAGCCTAAGGTGGAATTGGAGGTGATTCCATTGTCCAGCCTCTTCATAGACATGGTCCAGAACCAATGGGCATCACCAGGTACAGCTCCTCTCCCCAGTACCTTGGACAAGCGCCTGTATAATGTGGGACCAGAGCTCACTAAGACTTTAGAGGTACCTTCTATTGACTTACCGGTAATTAGCTTGTCCTCTCCTAACACAGCCTCGGCAGCTCCTGAGGAGATCCTTCGCCCTGAAAACAAGAGAGTAGAACAAACTGGTCAAGGGTCATCAGGCCTCGGCTTGGGCCGTCAGGGCAGCTACATCTGCCTCTTCTTTAGTCGCTCTGCCCTCTTATGGCTACAGCAACTTCAGGGGAGACTTCTGGCCTGGGATTCTATGGCTCGCAGGGACATTAACAAATTGAAGGCAGCCCTGGAATACACCCCAGATGCCTCCTTAGACGCAGCCCGGTTTGCGTCCAAAGCCATAGCATCCTCTATCACTACCTCTATCACTATGACTACTGATTAGAACAATTAATTAAACAGCTTTCCTCCAGAAGTTGTGAATGCCCCAACACTGGAAGTCTTTAAGAAGATGTTGGATAGCCATTTGTCTGAAACGGTATAGGGTTTCCTGCCTAGGCAGGGGCTTGGACTAGAAGACCTCCAAGGTGCCTTCCAACTCTGCTATTGTATTATTGTACCCGCCGGCTCCTTTGGCTTAAGCAGTGGCAGGTGGTCCTACAACCAGCCATCAAGAAGCAGGAGGGTTGAAGACAGTCCTTTTATTGTAGGCAGCCCTTTCATGGGCAGGACGGGGGTTTCTCCAACTCCTGTCCGCAACGTCAGGCCCCTCCCAAACAGCGCCCTTCCTTCTCCAACAGATCAAGCAAAAACAACCAGAGATTCCAGCCCAGAAAGTTATTCAGGGACAATACCAACCGCCCCTATAAGAGGCAGAAGTGACTGCTTGGAGGATCTCCCAATTGGGAGACATCTGTCAGCCTTTGCGGACCGTTGGGACGACATCACCAACAATGTGTGGATCAGGTCCACCATCAGATTTGGCCTTCTTTTGGACTTGCGCTCCAGCCCTCTGAACCACTTCGTCACGTGCCCAATCTCCAGAGATCCCCACAAGAGGCTCCTTGTAGAGCAGGCCATCCATCATCTGCTCCACATTTGGGCCATTCAACCTGTGCCTCCGGGCCAGGTGGGACGGGGTTTTTACTCTTGTCTCTTTATCGTGCCGAAGTCTTCAGGGGGTTGGAGAGCAATCCTCAATCTCAAATTTCTAAATGGATTTATCAGGTACAGGCGATTCAAGATGCACTCTCCTGTCAATCCTGGAGAGTGTGCTCAAACACGATCTCCTCACATCAGGGGACTTCACGGAGGCTTACCTCCACGTGCCCATTCACAAGCAACACAGACGATTTCTGCGCTTTGCCTATGCGGGCCGTCACTTTCAGTATCGGGCCCTCCCCTTCGGGCTGTTATCGGCCCCGAGGGTGTTCACCAAGCTCCTGTCAGTCATAGCCGCCCACTTACGAGCCAGACCCATTCAGATCTTTTGTTACCTGGACGATATTCTCCTATTGTCCAGGTCACGCAACCAGACTCTTCGGTATCTCCAGGGAAAGGTCTTCCTGTTCCGGGAACGCCAGATCATCCTCAGAGACTTGGCCAACGAGTCCCTCTTCTCCAGCTGTCTCAACTGCTGGGGAAGATGGTCTCATGCTTCTCCATTGACCCTTGGGCATGGCTTCACAGCCACTGCCTTCAGTGGTTTCTTCTCCCGTTCCAGAAACCCAACAGCAGCTGTTCCCTAGTGAAAGTCAGGTTGACTCCAGAGGTAATCCAATCTCTGGATTGGTGGGTCTCCCCAGCCATTTCTCAGGGGTCCCTTTTCAGGGACCCTCCATGTCTTGTAGTCACGATGGACGCGAATTTAATGGGGTGGAGCGCTCACCTGGAAGATCAAGTGGCTCAGGGTCTCTGGTCCGACTCCGACCTTTCCCACAGTATGAATTGGCTAGAGTTGAGAGCCATCCATCTGGCCCTCCTTCAATTCCAGTCCTCTCTTCGCAACACACACGTACTGATTCGGACAGACAACGCAACAGCCAAGGCTCATGTCAACTGCCAAGGCAGGATGAGGGCCATCTCTCTTATGGAGTCTACGTTTCGCTGTTTCCACGCCGAACACATCTCAGGCACCGACAACTCCCAGGCAGACTGGTTGAGCCGCACAACAATTGATTCTGCGGAATGGAGCCTGAACGGTCGCATCTTCAGACAGCTGTGATCCAGGTATGGGACTCCACTACTAGACCTATTCGCAATGGCATCCAACAAGCAGCTGCCCAGGTACCTGACACATTACACGACACCAGGCACAGAAGGGACGGACGCCCTAAGGTGCAGGTGGCCTCACGGTCTCCTATACACCTTCCCTCCCTTCCCCCTGATACAGAGGGTGATCTGGAAAATGATAGAGGAAGAGGCCGAACTCATCCTAATTGCCCTCATTGGCCGCCCCGACCCTGGTATGCGGACCTGGTCAATCTCTCAGTAGGTCCAGCGTGGCGTCTCCCAATGATACCGTCCCTTCTCTATCAGGGCTCCATTCACCATCCCGACCTGCCCTAGCTCCGCCTGACCACATGGAGGCTGAGTGGGCGGTCTTAGGGCGGCGAACCTCTCTGAGACTGTAATTTGGACTATTCAGGCTTCTCACCGCCCAGCCACTAACAGAATCTATGAATCAACGTGGCAAACTTTCATTACTTGGTGCCTTTCTCGGGATTCCAACCCCCTGGAAGCTGCAGTCCCCCAGGTTTTGGAATTTTTACAACGGGGACTTGATAAGGGACTCTCACCAAACACTCTGTGGCGACAGGTGTCAGCTCTCTCTTTGGTTCTCTCACTTCACCGGGATGAGCCTCTTGCACCTTCATGTCCGCTGATTCATTAAGGGTGGGTGCTTCTAATCTCTGCCCACCTGTCATACAGCGGTTCCCCTCATGGGATCTTGCCAAAGTCCTTGACTTTCTCATGGAACTGCCCTTCGAACCTCTCAGGTCTGCCTCTTTGCATCACCTTACACTGAAGACCACCTTTCTGGTGGCCAGCATGTCTGTATGGTGGATCTCGGAATTGGCGGCTCTTTCCGATCTGACCTGTGTGTATTTCACCCGGACCGTGTGGTCCTTCACCTTGATCCCACCTTTGTCCCAAAGGTAAATTCGGCCTTTCATCGATCTCTAGACCCCACTCTTCTAAATTACTGCCCTAATCCTTCTCACAGACTTGAACACAAATGGCACAAGTTAGATGTGAGATGGGCTCTTAAGATCTATATCGCCAAGACGGCTGTCTTCAGGTGCACCAAAGCACTCTTCATATCTTTCCATCCCACAAACAAGGGGCTGAAGGCTTCTCCCTCTATGGTTGGGCGCTGGATCCGATCTGCCATTTCAAGAGCCTACCTGGCACATCACCTCACTCCTCCATCCAACATCATGGCGCATTCCACACGCAGTGCGGCCACATCAATGATGTGGGCAAGACAGACCTCGGTGGAGGAGATCTGCAAGGTGGCCACCTGGACTACTACTACTCCCTTTATCCACCATTATAAGGTGGATAGATACGCTTCGGTGGATGTGGCATTTGGAAGGCATGTCCTGCAACACGTTCTTCCCTCTTCAAGCTCCTCTTCAAGTCTCACTCCCTCCCTGGGACAGGCCTAGCTTTGGTACGTCCCATGATTGCTGTCTTCACTAACTTAGGAGAATGGGACGTTGGTTCTTATCTGATACGCCCCTTCTCTGGGCAGGTGGAGACAGCGGTCATCCCCACCCTTCAGACTCTGATCTAGTTCACAGAGGGACATCCGGAAGGTAGGCTGTAGCATCAGGGGATTGAGAGCAATTGAATAGAGCACAGTACTCTACTTATCTCCTTCGTCAAGAAAAGTAGGAACACACTCCTCAGAGGCAATGACATCACTTTGGTAGACTCAGTTCTACTGGTTACTGGCTGAGTTAACCCATGCATGACCGCTGTCTCCACCTGCCCAGAGAAGGAGCATATCAGGTAAGAACCAACGCCCTACTTTATATACTGGAATGATATAGAAGTTTCAATGAATATTTTTTATGATGATATATATTGATTTTGCTAAATAACTGTTTATTTGGGTAATAAATATAAGTGAACTGTTCCCACCCCTATTCTAAAATCATTAGGAAACAGAACTACAGCTACTAGTATTCATGCACTGTGATGAAGTGATGAATGAGCACTGAAGCGGTATATAAGTCTAAGTGCTATAGCTATCCTGCAAATTATTTAGCAATAATTGGGGAACAAACAGTATCCAAAGTATACTGCTTCAAAATGCAGCTGAATTATTCTTTCATATCCTATGGAGAAGTAGAAATAAAGTTTAGTTTTTAAAAAATATAGAATAATGGATAGCTTTCCTGGAATTCTAGAAGAACAATTTCAATTCAACCTCATTTTACTTGAACATTGATATAGACACTTAACTCATTTGCATAATGATGTCATTATACAATTATCCATGATAAATTACCCATTCATTCAAATGATAATTTGAATGGTAATTTGAATGAATTATGTCATGCATATGGTAGCAAATGACATAAGTTACGTAATATTGTTTATTTATACTTTCTTATAAATACATTTTTATTTCTAGTGATAAGCCACCCAGAGTTGTTTGGAAGTTAGGTAATTAATCAGTAAAATAAATTAAATTATTTCTGTGATGACATCATCACACAAATGACTTAAATCTCCATAGTGCCTTATTTCTCAGTCAGTGGATATTTCTCAATAATAGACACTTTGTCTTTCCAGTTACTCTTTTAAAACACAGTTTTGTGGAACTGAAAAGGAAGAATGCGGTGTAATACAAAATAAGCTAGTGATTCAGGAAAGAAATGCTTTGGCGAGCTCTGTTACTCTAACCCTTTCTAGACTGTGTTGTTCTGGGCATGGTTTAGCTTTTTCCAGAAATATATTCTCCAAACTTGTTTAAGATGTCTGCTTATCTTTCAGATAATTCTTCTAAAAAATGGCATAGTCTAGGAGGGTTGAAAGTTTGTGAGTAATCTAGAAATGTCTTGGGACATTTTAAAGAACACTTTGTTCCCAAGTTGCTACATTTTGCATATCCTTGCAGTGTATAGTCATGTGAAAAAATACATTCCAGCAAAATTTTAGACTTTTTCAACATATTTCAATGTATGGATATTTGGTCATTTCAACAATATTGATAGATACAGATAAAGGATATAAAATATAATAAATATTTCACTATTTACGTTTTGTAGTCCATTTAAAAAGACTGTTAAATAATTTCAAATTAGTCATTACACAGGAACATTTCAAACAACTGCCAAATTACCTAGACCAAGCCATCCTAGCAAGTTCAGCAGAAGAACAAAATGCAAAATGCCTCAAAAACTAAAAAACTCAGAATTTCATCACATGAGTGACATGACATGTCAATGAGCATATCATTACAAAGAAGTTGCCCAAATTATATCTACATGAGAGATGTGCCAGGAGGAAACATTTGTTGTCCAGAAAGATAATCAGGGCAGATGAGGCAAAGAGTTACAGTATTTGGCCCCACTACCAGAAGATCTGTTTAGAAAAAAATGTAAAGACAGTATTTCACCTGAAGAACCTGATACCAATTGTTAATGCATGGTGGTCAAAATGATATTTTTGGGGATGCTTTGCTGCATAAGGGTTGGTTCATCATCAAAGAATCCACAATGAATTGTTAATTGTACTAGAGGGACTTGAGGTGAATGTGAGATTTTCTTTCAGAGGACTGAAGAGCAAGTGAAAGTAGACCTTGCAATATGATGGCTTTAAACATCATAAAAAATCTCCCAAGAAATGACTGAAAAATGAATGGATAAAAATCCACCCCATCAATGTCAGAAACTGGTAGACAATTATAATAAAGTTGAGGTTGTTCCTTCCAAAGGGTGTTCCAAGTATTAGAGCCAAAAATACATTTACTTTTTTTCTCAGAAGGAAATGGTGTAACTATTCATTTTTTTATGGAATGAAAGATTGCAGAATCAGTTTTTCATAGTTCTTCAGTTACATCATATTATATTCCTTGAATGAAGGTAAAACATATTAAAGCACTTGGCATGGGCGTCCTTATTTTTTTCACATAATTGCAAGTATATAATTGCAGAAAATATTCTTCTTAATGAAATGATTCTGTCCTGCTGTCTTTGAAACCATATAGCAACCTCTGCTTTTGTAGTTAGAATCTGCTCATCCAAATTACTATATGTTGTGGAATTAAGTCTCTATATTTTAAATGATTTAATACATATGAAAATATTAGATGTGATATTCCCAGAAAATGTTATTTCATTTCATGTAGGCTTTTTTTGAGAGTCATCCAGCTCCATCAGCTGAGCGTACCATACAGCAGTGCTGTGAAAACATCCTGTTGAACGCTGCATGGCTGAAGCGTGATGCTGAAAATGTTCATCAGTACCTCCTGCAACGCAAAGCCTCACCAACTGCTGTGTGAGCCCACTCTCACCCACCTCGGACATCCCAGCTGCTGCGGCCCAACTGCCTCAGCGTGAGGAGGAAAAGCTGCTATTCAACAGTTGAATAATGCGCCAAGGAAATTGGAGTTTTTTCTCACACCAGTGGGGACTGGACATTGAATGTAGTTTAACGGTTCCTGCTCAACTCCAGAACTAAATTCTAATAAAAAGATTTTATCAAAAATTTAGCAACAAACAAACAAACAACCACCCTGTAAATATTATAGTAATAAAATAGAGCATAACAAAACTGTGAAACGTCCTTAAGGCTTGTCAGTGGTCAAAATATTTAATACACTCTCCCCTTTTACTTTCTGATGATTTTTTAACCATTCCTTTCCCTTTTTTTCCTAAAAACAAACAAGAAAAAAGAAACCAGAGGTTTCTTGGCAAGTTGAATGTTATAGCAAGTCAAGGGCAGGAATGGGTTTCACCTCCGAGTGCCCCTGAAAACACACTGAAAGGCAGCAAAAGCACTTACAAGTTGTGTGGAATAGTCCAATTATGAAAAACAGCTTGATATAACTTTTAAGTGTAGTCCTTAGCTGAAGGTTCTAGGAAACAACATATGATCTTGGTTCAAATTTTGAAAGCTTGTAAAACTCCCTTGTTTCATTTTTTGAGAAGGGGAAAATAAAATATCCTGTGTCTGTCTTTTCTCCCTTCCTCCTTTTTTGTTTCATTTGCTAATCTCAAAAATTGCAAGCTTGTATAGAAACATGTTTCTCAGCCACATTAAAATGAAATTATCCCCCCCATACCCTTCTGTCTTTCTTTATACTTTATTCCTGCATGCAAAATAAGATTTAATATTGTAATTGGATCTTTCTGGGCCACTGTAAAGTCTCACTTCACTTAATACATAACCCAGTAGTTTGGAAAAGGTGTTCTGTTTCAAAAACAAAACATTGCCTTAACCCCTTGTGATTGAAGCCTTCCATTCCACTTTATTTGGTAATGTTTGGTAATTTGATTCAGAACCTTAAACTTACACTAGTTGGCATGATGATAAAAATCTAAGCTTTCTGCCATCGGTTGCTTAAGAGAGTAGCATGTTCCTGCTTACTAATTTCATATCCAACATCACTCCTCCCTCAAATGTTTACAGTTCCCTTTTTTAATATACCTTTTTTAAAATTCATACTTGGCGTGGCTTTAATTGTTAATTGGAGAAGGTCATCAGACACTAGATGTCAAATTGCTTCCCTGGAAACACATTTTTGTGCTATTGTTTTAAATGAAAAACAAAGAAAAAAATTACAAGTTGGCGTTAATAAAAAGGAAAGTCAATGTGAAATTAAAGAGTCTTGGTTTTGGTGTGTGTATATTGGCAAAATAAGATTTTTACATGCCTTGTATGCATGACCATGGCTGTGAAACAGTTGAAATGGACTTTGGTACAGGAGTTTCCCTCTTTATTTTTAATTTCAACTGCGTTTTGATATGCTTTTCTTCAAATTTGGAAATAGATCTGGGCTTAGTTCAGGACAATGTACTCAGCATTAACACATTTGACTTGCTGGGTCATTTCCTACACAGGCCCATTACAATTGTAGTGCTTTTGTACAGCTTATATCCATTGCACTGGAACTTGATACTATAAAAATCCAAAATTTATTATTCCCTACCCCATTTCTAATTATGGGGGAGGGGAAGATCCTTGTGAATTTATTTTATGCAATTCATGTTCAATACAGGGGAGCTTATATACGAGAGATATTTAGGTTGGATTCAGACCTAAACTTTAATTATATTTAGATCTTACTGAAATAAATGTTAATAAGTTAAACTGTGGCTGTCACGTGCCATTGATTTTTTTGGGACATGTCAACTGAGCATGACAATAGTCCTTTAACCCCCCCCCCTTTTTAAAAAAAATGTAACTCTAATACAAAAATGTGGCTGAAAAAACATCAGATTTAAGTTTTGACCAGCTATCTTTCAGGTCAGTGTTCTGTATCTGTATTCTGGCTCACCATCACAGTAGTTGCTGAGAGTTTTGCAGTCATTCTACGGGAAATGAATCTCAGTTTCTGTTGCTGTTCAGTGGTGTATACAATTATACTGTATACTTTATGAAACAAGTAGTATTATGAAACCCCCAACTTTTCTACGATAGAGCATGTACACATTTTTGGTTAGTACAACCTCTACAGATTGATGTTTTTACTTTTGCTGTATTGAAGATGATATCCTTAATATCTCTTGTTCAACACATACATAATCAAGCAAAGCATGATTTAAAAAGTTACTGTTTAGCTACTTAGTTTTGCCAAGGCTTAAGGGATTGAGAAAAAGGTTACGTTTATGTTGAAGTATAGGGATTTCTTGAGAAGACATAATTTCTATGATTTCTCAGTGATAGGACATTGTTACTTCGTAATATGGTACAGCTTGGTGTAAATATGGCAGAAAACTCTTAAATTCTTTCCTATTCAGCTGCTGTTTTTCACATAGTTCTGAAATATGTACATTCTAAATTAACTACTTTCTTAATGCTGCTGCTCTAAACTGTACCATACTGAAGTATAACATGATAAATAAGACAGGCACTGTTGTGCTTGGATCCTAAGAACTAAAAAAGTGAAAGTAAATGATGTATAAATTTCATGTAAAATAATTAACAGGCCTAGAAAAATAAGGGTGGAAGAGAAAACTTCAACCCTGATAAAATGTGACAGAAATATAGGCTATATTTGCTGATGTCTTTATTTACGTATCTACTATTACCCTTCACCTCTCTTCAAAAAAATCCAGATGTATATTTTTAGTCACCAGATGTTTGGGTGCCCTTGACAATTAGCTGAGCCTCACTCTTGTGTGGGGGAGGGATTGGTTGATCAGGAGACTTAGCTGCAAACATTTGTTCTCATGTGTTTATTGGTTAGCTTTCCTTGTTCTATTTAATAGATAAATGCTTAGATACGTAAGCCCTAAAATACTGCTATACTACTTTCCTACTTTAATCTATGGTTTCCAGTACTTTATTGTTTTCATGGTCGCCAGAAATCATATGAAGGTCTTTTCTTCTCTGCTTCTCTTCCTGGGTTTTTCTTCTTTCCCGCTAATCTCTTCTAGGAATGCCAAATGGAAGATTATATGGTAGTTTTTTCTTTTGCAAACTATGCGAGACATATTTTTAACTTGATCTGTTAAGTTCAAGTTAAACTTAGATATCACATTATTTAGGTATTGGTTTTTGTTTTCAAAATATGTAGGTCAACAACCCTGTTCATTAAAGAACTATTTTAGGAAATAGCTAAAAGGTGTGATGTGGACATAAAGCATAATGATTGCCTAGGCTTTGGATTTTTGGGATTGCTGTATTTCTAATTTTAAGGAGAATGCAAAATTCTGAAATGTATCTTGTGCACATATATTTTCTCTAATTTATCATTCAAATTTCTATTTTATTTTGTATAGAATGTTCATCTTACATCATCTTCCTATAAATTTACTCTTCCATCCTTGTCCAGCCTCATACTGATGGTACAGAGCTCATGTTGTCCAGAAATGAGATTGAATATAACATGCAGACACATACTCTTTATTTATGAAAGGAAGATATGGTTTCCAAGGGGTTGCTTTAGACCACCTGGTCCTATTTTCTCAAGGGGATAGTCTGGCTTCCTGGAGACAATTCCTGAGCATAAATTGTACCATTTGGCAGAAGGCAAAGTAGTTGGGACCCCAATTCTAATCCTTATATTATTAAGTTTTATTACTCATGCTAATTCAATGATCCACTCAAAAGAATAACCAAGGAACTTTGCTGTACTAATTTTCCTAATATCGGTAGCTGAGAAAAAAGCTAGGATACATTGGGATATGATTGTTTTACAGGGCACCATTTTGATTACCCTGGTCAAAATTATATATAATTGTACTTTGTATACAAATTGTACAAAAGTAACTGTACTTTGAACAAAAATAGCAAACACACATCCATGATCTGGAAGTAATGAAAAAGTCTGCAGCCTGCTTATCTTTCAGTGGATAATGTCTGTAGAATAGTGTTATAAATCTCAGCCTATTCTAAGTATAACAAGTAGTTTTTTTCCTCCTAGTGTTTTTCCATAAACGCAGGGACTGTTTTTTCTGATCAACCAAGTCTTGATCCATTGGTTGTGACAAGAATTGACCGACTGGCTTGTTATCTGAGTCTCATATTGTGGCTGAGAGAGTATCTTGTCAAGGTCATCAGCTAGCTTTCATGTTTAAGAGGGAACAAGAGCTCACAATCTCTTAGTTTCTAGCCTTAAGCTCTAATGTCTTAACCACTAGATCAAACTGGCTCTTCATTCTGAGCATGACAAGTGAATTATTTAAAAACCATCTGTTCAAAACAAATCTGGATGAGATCTATAGATAATAAAAGCAAACAAACTTTGGAATAGGTGTGTGTATAGATGATTACATATATGATTTGAGAAAGAACTATTTCAAATATATGGGCAGTACTCAAGATAAGATTGTAATGGAGTCTGGCCATTGCAGTCACATGCTGCAACCACTATTAAGCAAAACAGCCTCCTTAATCTTACCTTCTGTTCTCCCTGATGCAGCCATTAAACAAATTCAAGAGTTATTAAACAGCATAGGGTTCCCCAGGATGGGGGAGGCCTATGCAGGGCCAGAGTCACCTGCCCCATACCTCCCAAGCCTACTGTTACCGCTTTTTTGCCTCTCACGGTGCCCTTAGTTCTTCAACTTCTTTCACACCCAGTGAGTAAGGAGATCAGGCTGGTCAGAGTTTGCAATGATTGGTGAGCAATGACAGATCAGGCTGGCTGGGGTTTGCAATCTAGCCTTAAGGCGAAGGTGTTATTCTTGTATAGGGGGCTGCCTTTTTATGGAAGTTCCATAAACTTCAGGAAAAAATGGCTTCTCCTTAAAAGAATTGACCCTCATTAAAAAAAATCCTACAATGTTGTAAGAATAGAACCTGTTGAAAAACGTTTGCTATAAGACTGACTCTGTAAGAAAGCTGATTATGTGTTAAGTGGATGCCACTTTCAGAACCTGCAAAACAGAAAGGTAAGTTGGAGATTCCTGGGCCAGGGAGCAGGTTCCAGTCCTTAGGTGGGGAAACAGCTGGTGGCTTGCAAGTCTACCCAGCTTGATCTCTCCTTGCTCACTTGTGCTTGAAAACTCTTGCCAGCCTGATCTCCCCTTGCTTGCTGGGTGGGAAGAAAGCTAGAGGCTGCAAATTCCAATTGCTTTGCACCCACTACAGCCAGCCTGATCTCCTTTAAGTGAATGAGTGGGAGAAGCACTGCTGCAGCCACTATAACTTTGAAACCAGGTTTTAAGTAGCTTTTGGGAACTCTATTATAAATTAAGAACTTCTTGTGTTAAGTATTTCAACTCAACATTTGTGTATACCCAGATAATTAATTAGAAACGTTTCTGGTAACATAACTAAGAAATGCTGATCAATGTTGAATGCATCTAATAATGAAAGATTTTTCAAAATTTATAGCTGTTAATCAAATCAAGTAAGAAGACTTTTACATAATGTAAAAAAAGGATTCTATGTTTTGCAATACAAACCATAATTCATAGATGGGACAGGAATTGGATCAATTTCTTATGTTGTATGTAACTTAGAACCAGAAAAGGTCCAATATTTTTCCTTATCTACAAAAGCATAACAAGATACTGTTTTCTTCCAATTCATATTCTCGTACCTCAGTAAAATAACTAACATACATGAGTATTTATTGAATGTATGATGACTGAAGGAAGGGCCAAAAAGAAAACTAAATGGTTCTCCCCTATCTCTTAAGGACTCTTAATAGGATTATCCCAACTCTGTCTTATAAAAACATGACTATTTGAATAATAACTGGAGATACTTCTAAGAACAATGAGATACATGTGTGTACAATATTAAGCACCAAAACATAATGCAAAAATTATACAGCAGCCCCCCCCCCCCATAAAGTGTGTTACCGAGGCAGATAGCCATTTCCCATTTTTTATTAATCTATATCATTTATTAATTATGCTTTGTTTAAAATTCTTAAAGACCTTTCCACTAAAAAATATCCTAGCATGTGTCTTTATAGAAAAGAGAAAAGTTATGTGGGATGCTGTATCTGTTGATAAAGTCTTTGGCAAATTATCTCATCAAAGATTCATGATCAAATATGAATTATTATATGATTATTACTTAAAGAAAAAAGAATAGGGTTAGAGATAATTGAACATTTCTTGAAACCGTATGAAAACAATAGTTATGAATAATCAGTGAAATAGCCAAGTTTGCTAATGATTATCTATAGTGGTAAGAATAAAAAAACCAAAACGTAAGATTTTTTTTTTTAAGATTGGGAGAATGGGCATTATAATGGCAAATTAAAATATAACTCTAACCCTTCTGTTCCAACAAATGGTTGCATTGAGACAATTTCTACTCCTTTTGTGGTATGTGTACAAAATGGTGCAATTGATTTGGAATAAATTTTGGCCCAATGAAATAAAAATATTGACCAGTATGTAATTTCCTGTGAAAAAAGCAATTATATTTTGGAAATAATTAGAAAATGAATTGAAACTAAATTTTTAAATATCACAAGGCTATTAAACAAATTAATGATGAAACCATATATGGAATGTTGTCTAATTTTGTAATAATTTTGTAATTACGGTATTACAAAAAAGATGAGTCCAAAAATGAAGAGACCATAGAAACTGCCATATATACAAACTATTGCATTTGAAACTTTTTTACAAAAGGATATGAATACAATTTTATAAAATTTGCCATGGTACTGGGGGGAAAAGAATTCTTCTTAAATACTTGCTATTTTTTTTTAAAGCAAATATTTACAGGAAACTGTTCAGAAACTACAATTGTCCCTGGCATAAAGGCTTGAAATAATTGCATGTTACAAAGTTTATTCAGTGGGAAGATGCAGTTATAACACAGGCACTAATAAGCTAATGTGATGGAATCGGGGCTTCAAGGATTGCATTGAAAGAACCCAGGCTGCTTTTCTTAGAAAACTTCTGGGTCTTCCCCCTTGTGTTGGTTTTACCCGATGTACCTGGAACTGGGCATTCGATTGGTGGAATGTATGGCCTGGGTTAACACCTTTAAATGGTGGTTTCAGGTGCTTTTTCTAGCAATTCCTGGCAGCTACCTCTCCCTGGCATTTGCGGACTCCCATTTTCTCGCTGGGAGAAAGAGCTGCTGAAGAAACTTCATCTGCTAGGTTTTACGGAGGCTGCCTTGGGAAATTACGGTCTTAAGGACGCCCAATCTAGGGTAGCCCAATGGCTTGTGGACATTGATTTACAATATCTACGAGCCAGAGCCAACAAAACTTGCTCCCCCCGACTCTCAACCAACTTAATAATTATGGATTGAGGATGGCTTCCTATTTTTATACTTTAACCATTCCCAAGTATAGAAGTGCTTTTTCCCTAGCTTGCTTTAATGTCTTGTCCTCAGCACTTTTGGATGGTCGTTTCAAGAGATTCCCGATTAACAAGCGGCTATGCCCTTGTGACAGAGCCGAGGTTGAAACTGTGGAGCACATCCTTCTATTTTGCCCCATGTATAACGCAGACAGATCTAAGTTACTGTCTCTTCTTGAAATCGTCCCTTCTAGACCTAATGGCGGTAATTTGTTTGTATACTGCCTTGGAGATGGCTCCTCATACATCACCTCTCAGGTTTCCAAATTTTTCTTAAGAGCTGTAACCATTTGAGGAGAACTTTGTAACTTCCCTTAGTTAAGCTTTTGGTGACTGATTGCTATGATGCTATGATCAATTCTCTTATGTCTCTTTTGTAGTACTCGGTTTTGGTCTGTGACCGTAAATAATACACACACACACACACACACACACACACACATACACATATAATAAACTGACAGACCATAATTTAACTTGGCCTTCATGAGGCAAGGATAAGAACCCATTTCAAACTAGTGAACATCTTTTGAATTTTGTTAGCTTATTGTCGGCATTCTTACATTGCTTCTATGGAAGTGAGGTACTGTCTCTTTGGACATCAAGAACCAAGAAGATAGCCCTTCACAAAACACATATTTTCCAGAAGACAAACTAATGAGTTTTCTTTTTGCCATTCGATTTAATATTTCCATAATGATTTCTACTACTTCAAAATTATATGTATTCCTTTGTGAAAAGCATATATCCAAATAAAAGAATGGGCTATAACCATAGATTTTTTAAAAATCTATGTAAGAGGTACTTTCTTCAAAATAATGTTGATAACTGGCAATGCTTTGCCTTAAAAAATATCAAAAGAGAGAAGAAAAAAAATGGAACCAGAGGACTGTTGTGTCTGGGGGCTTTTGATGCTCTCTGAGCTTGGTTGTTTGCTGCTTTGTTATCAGACTTCATAACATCTTCATTGCTACAGTAGAAGGAAGTAGAGAGTGGAACAACCAAGCTCACTGTACAGAAGACAGTTTATCCTGTAACTGATGCACTTCCTATTCAACACAGCTTGTGCACCTGCATTGGCATTTTGGTTTAGGTTATATTCTGTAGAAATCAGAATATAATCACATTTGCAGAAATCAAATCAGTCCTTTGCTTCTGGAAGGCAATACGCTAAAACTCAAACTATCACACACTTTATAGAGTAAATACCCTGTTTTCCCAAAAATAAGCCCTCTCCGAAAATACTGCAACACAGCAGCAGCCATGAGGTGACCACATTGGCTCCCCCCCCCCGCACGTCAAAAATAATAAGTCCAAGTGCTTATTTCAAACACTGCATGAACACCAGGCAATGTAAAGTAGTAGTAGTATTACATGTTTGCAAAATGGGTAAAGGCTTTCATTCACACTGAATCAGGAAAAAGCTGGAAATGCTTCACTATGTATGTGTACTCAAACATAAATTCCTAATACTTCGATTGATTTCTTCCCTAGTATAAGGGCATAGACCTGCTGCTTTAATTAAACCTGCCCTGCTTATCTAAATACAAAGTTTTTGAAACCGTGCGTTCTTTTCAACCTGTCAGCCTCGTGACGTACGATTTTGGCAATGACCAATCAGCATGGGAAGGCGGGCGTTGGCCGGTTGAACAGGAGCAGGGGAGGTGTTCCTGCGCCTTGGCGAGAATTGGATTGCGTGAGCACGCTGCATACGCACGAACGTTACGTGCCTGAAGGCAGACTTGAGGCCTGGCAGGCCTGTCCAGTTAATTGGCCAGAAAACAGGGCAATGAATTAGCGTCCCTGTCAGGGAGGTTGTGGGGAGGCCAGTTATTTTGTATTTTAATTTCCTCTCTCCCCCTCCCCCCTTGTCTGAGTCGCACTCGCCGGATAGCTTCGTTTTAGCGCGCGCGCGCGCTTTCTCCTCCCCTCTTCCTTTTTTCTCTCCTTCCGCCGCCAGAAGGAGTTGTGTGTGAAGAGGGGGAGGGGAAGTTGTAGGGGAGACTCCAGTCGCTTCCGCCGGGGGTGGGGCCGCCCCGCAGCTGAGGTAGAAGTAAAGAGCGCGCGAAGGGAGACCGTCGGCCGACTGAGCGGGCAGGCGGAGGGCGAGGCGGCGGTGATCACCGACTCCTATCCTCTCTTTCCTTTTCCCTTTCCCTTTCCCCTTCCTCTTCCTCCTTTCCTTCCTAGCTTCACCTCAACGCCGCCGCCACCACCACCACCACCATGGAGCTCATTACGATTTTGGAGAAGACGGTTTCCCCAGGTAAAGGAGAAAGAAACCCCTACAGCCCTTTCCCCCCTCTTTCTTTCTAGATGTGCTGCAGAGGGAGGAACGAGCAGGGCTGAAAGCATCTCCTCTCTCCAAGATCGGGAGGAGATTGGGAGGTAGGGAAGGGCATCTAAGGCATAGCGTTTATGTGGCTCTGGGGAAGGCGTTAGCCGTTGTTTGAAGGGAGGAAATGATTTAAGGGAGAAGGTGTGGGAAGGGGTAAAAGGCCATCCTGCCTTTGACGATTCGGAGCCGTTGGAAGAGACGGGCTCCGTCTCTGGCCTTGGGGATAAAGGAACCACTAAAGGGCTTGGTTTGGGCCCCGTGGTTGGAGGGAAAAGGAGGGGCAAGGCTGAATTTTATCGTTTGTGGGATGGAGGAGATTACGAATCCCCTAGTTTGGCTGGCTCGGAAGTAGCCAGGGGTAAAACGCCCCTTTTACATATATATAAAAATACATTTATAAATATAAATACATACATATATATATATACATACATACATAAAGATATAAATACATATGTACATACATACATACATACATACATACATACATGTAGGTGAGATGATGAAGGTAATGGTGCACGTGCATGTAAGAAGGTAGCTTTGGGCACAAGTTAATGGATTCGCTGAATGATCTGGGAAGAAGAAAGGGTCTTCTTGAGGGTGGGAGGGAGGCAAGGACAGTGCTGTGCGTGGCATATGGGTTAAGGGTGGGGTGGAGATTCCTTAGCATATGACTGTGGGCCAAGTCTTCTCGTCCGAGAGCTGCTTCCTAGATGTGCTGGGGGAGCATGGGGAGACGGAAGAATAGGCGATGGCCTCACGTCGGGTCAGCCGTAAGACCAATGCCTCCATGAGGTTAAAGGTAGGGTGGCAATGAAAGGACCGTCCCCTATGAAGTTGAGGCCCGATATTTATCTATTCGGGTCCGGTGTAGGCCAAAATCAGTGGGCCGAGATCGGCTGTGATAAGATAATAGGGAGAGTGGTGACAATGAGGCTAGAGCCGTACTGGTATTTTAACAAATGTCTAATGCGCCTCTCCCCGAAATCTTTGGATGGGTTTTTATTTAGCGTACGGCATCTACAGAAGTCGTGCAGTCATTGATACACAACTCGAATAAAATACGTCGCACATACAAACAAAAATATTAGTTGTGGTTGAGTGAGGTTACAGTTATAATGTATTTGTAACGTTCCCCGAAAGGCGTTTCTCTTTGAACCCCACTGTGCGGTACTGATTGATGGAAAATGAAGTTTTGAGTAGAAAGAACCATGATACGCCGGGGACTCTTTGGTGGGGGCTCCGGGAGGCCTTGAAAACATTCATATTCAGAATGGAATGAGTTTAAGCAGAAAGAAGAACGATTATTGGGAAAGGGCGGGAGGATTTGGGGTTTTAACTGTTGGACTGAAATTGAGCTTTAGGGTCGCCACTGACACTCCTAGATGCATTTTTTCTCTCCCACTCCCATCCATCTTCTACAGACTGCACCGAGCTTGAAGCGGCTCAGAAGTTCCTGGAGCAAGCAGCCATCGAGAACCTGGTAAGGGAAAACGCAAGAGTTGAGCTGAGTTTGGGTGGGGTTTGCGAAAATGGAATATTTTCCCTGTGTAAAAAGATCAGAGCAGGCCGAGCCGCCATAGAGGGGCGCAGCCTAACCGTAGGCTTTTTCTTCCCTCTCTCTAGCGGAGCGGCGTGGGGGGGGGGCGAGCATGAAGCAGCCAATGGCAAAGCTCTCTGGAGTCGCGCTATCCAATCATGAGGGCGATCCTGACCCGCGGGAGGGAAAAGGAAGGGGAGGGCAAGTTGGATCTACCGCGCTGCATGCATGGAGGGAAAGTGGGGGTGGTGGTTAGATTGGGCCTGCGGGACCGGCCATGTGGGGAAGCCGGCGTGTATAGTCAGCTAAAGGGAGTGGGCAGGAGGCTGTCTCGAACGGGCCGTTGAGCTCGTAATCAGTACTACTAGGTTTCGTTTCTTCTGCCTTCTGCCCTAGTCTAAACATTCTCTTATTTTGCCTTTGGATCGTCTCCCATTTTCTATACTTCTCCTGCTCTTCCATTTTTGTCCATTTCCTCTTGTTTTAGTACTTTTTTTCATAGATTTGAATATTTTTAGCCAGCGTTGCCTATGCATATATTTCGCTTACATTTTCTCACAATTATTTGTTCTTTGGTTTGAAAACAAACTTGTCTTCCTTCAGTCTCTAAAATACAGAATATTTGTGAAATACCTCATTCATCTCTACTTTGGAAAGGATTGATTCAGAGCAATATTAGCAACCAAATGAAGCATTAATTGATATAAGTTTCAGGATAAAATAGTGTTATAAGTCTAGTGCTGAACAGTGAATTAACTAATCCACAATTTATAAGGAATACCCTGTATGTAACTATTACATTTACTGAATCCCAATTAACTTATATTCATTGCAAGGCCTTAAAGGAGAATAGGAGTAAAACTTGAGTGTAATTAGTTATGATAGTGAGCCTTTGCTGTTGATAATTTTTTTTAAAGCAGGAATAGAATGTAATAAAATAGTGTGTCATATCAAAGCAATTATTGGGGATGAATTTTTTGTATGGCATTCATCCAAAGAGAATTTGGTGGTTGATTTTAACTGATCACATTAAAGAGATAAGTTTTTAGACTAGGATTGTTTGAGGCTTGTTTATTAAATTTATTTCATTGGCAATGTTGGCAGAGTACATACATTATCAGCAATTGATGGCTTAGTGTCTTAGATTTTATGCAAATACTTAGAACATTTTCTTTTTCTTAATACTTGCCTTGTAGGCTAACTATATTTTTAAAGGATATGACACACTTTTTCAGCACTGCAATAAATAAATATAAATAAAAAATACAATGGTACATTTATTGTTGAACAGCTTACAACTTGCATTGCTAATGCAATAATTAACATTAGCACTTCTATACCATATGATTGTTCTTTCCCTAAAAAGCTACACAAAAGTTCTGGAATATTTTCATAGGATATTTATTTATTTGTATCCCACCTTCATTATTTTTAAAAATAACTTCAAGGCAGCAATCATATACTGCATGCCTTCTTTCTCTTACTTTCTCCACAACAGTGAATTGGGCTGAGAGTGTGACTGGCTCAAGCTCACACAGCAGGCTTTTATGTCTAAGACGGTGCTAGAACTCACAATCTCCTACTTTCTATCCTGGTGGTCTAACCACCCGAGACCAAGCTATCTCAGTATTCATACTGTTTGCTGGTGGATAGACAGAGTTCTTTTTACAGTTAATTGTTCTATTTCAGGGAATCTGTTTCAAATCATTAAATTTTATTGCTGATAATATGTTACTAGCCAAATGTGAAATCAAATTTTACTATGTGAAATATATCTCTCTTTTTCAAATGTCACATTTTTAATGGTAGTACAATTTGAATTATCACTGAAGACACATTTCTCAAACTCTCCCAATTATTCAGAAAAATGCAAAGCATCTATAGACTCCTAAGGGACTAGCATCAAATTTTGAAAAAGAGATCACATTTGTATTCAGTCCACCTTTTAAAACAAAATGCATCCCTGGATTTCATTTTATATTTGTAGTAACTCTTCAAAATAGATTAGGATCAATTGATGGGCCTAGGCCAGATAGGGAGCTTCATGGCTAAACTGAGATTTGAATTTTAATTTCCATAATTCAGCTCTAACAGCAAAGATGGTTTTTTCTTCAAACCTTTGCCCTCTAGAAATCCTAGACAACAGTTCCTATTTCTAGTCAGTAAGGTCAATACATTCTGCGAGGCCTACAAAAATAAACATATTTGAATATATATTTTTTCAAATGATTTCTTCAATGAAGAATCAACCTTAATCAGAAAATAGAAAAACTATATTGATTGATATTATGGTATGTCTTGAATTAGAGATTATTTGATAATAATTATGATTTTAAGGTAATGATTTTTGCATAACAATATTTTGCAAACACTGAAATATTGATTATTTTATCTAAGTGTTCCAATATTATTGTTATCCTATTTTTTCATTATATTATATCATCAGATGGATAACCATGTATGAGGTTTGTAGAAAAGAATAGGGAACAGATAAACATTTATTTCACCCATTTCTTTAGCAGATATTAATTTCAGAATGTGCTTTGACATATTAAGGCGTAATTCTCACTTTTGTTCCTTGGTAGCAGAACAGTTTTGAAATAAAACTGAAAAAGTGCTATAACACTTAATTACTCTGCATAACAGACTGCTAAATTAAGGTTTGGGATCTTGACAAGTTGCTTACCCTTCATTGCTTGTCACTTATCTTCATAAAAAAGAGATAATTTTCACAATTGCATTCCTTGTCTCTTAATCCAGAGAGATATATTTACAAAGTACATTATGGTTGGATAGGAAAAAGATGCAGGAATTAGATAATGAAATCTGCTCCCCCTGTGTTTTGGAATGAATGAGGGACTGGTTTTATTTAATCTGTGTGGGGGGGGGGGAGATTTAAATCTGAGGAAACTTCCAAATATTGTTTATGATACAGTAATATAATTCCTGCTTTACAACTTTTATTCTGGAAAACCTCTTGTTTCTTAAATATATCAATCTTTCAGAAAATACTGCTTCAAATTTAATAAAACTTTTATATCTTGCTGTACTCTCTGTTTCAATCAAAAGTTAATGGATATAGTTTAAGCATTATTTAACCTTGTTATTCTTTTCCATACTTATATTTTCCATACTTTATACTTTATACTTCCTAACTACTTTTAATAAGATAATAAAATAATCCAAATTTAGTAACACTCTGTTTTCTGTTTACATCATCAAGCTTTCTACAATTAAATATTGATATAATATTTACTTGATGACCATCATAGCTTGGAAAAGAGGGGTTTAAAATTTATTTTGTGCTTTTATATTGTAGCAAATTGCTTCTGTGCACATGTTGATATATTTGGTTAGATATTTTGAAGAGTGGTTCTGTAATTAATTTATTTTAGTATTGAAATATCATTTGAAGATCATACTGATTTTCTTTATTGAGAAGTCATTATTGAACACACAGCACTTCTCTTACATAGTTTGCTGAAAAAAAATAGTATTAGTAATTTGTAGCCCTATGATTTTCAATCTTTTATAGCAGAGCAAAAATTTAAGTACCTTATTCCTCCTGCCCAGCAATCAGATCAGTGTTACACATTTCATTGTCCTAGTTTGGTGCTAACCATGAACATATATTCAGGTCTAGCCAGCATGTAGACTACCCATCAAATATTCAAAAATTCTTTGAATAAAAATTCTATATGCTGCTATAGTCTAAGTTAATATGCAAAATCGGACTTCAATACCTTTGAGAACTGGTTGTTATACGTAAGTTAAAAACTCAGTTATTTCTATATCCTATAGTTGTGTATTACTTTAAATCTTTAAAAATAAGGACAGAGTATTTTCAATTTAAAATGAAATTTAATTCTATGCAAATGAACTCTATAAAAAAGGAAATGTAGAGCAATGGACCCAATCTTTTGGGTGCCAGGGACCGGTTCCATGAAGGGCGTTTTTTTCTGTGGACTGGGTGGTTTCATGTGCTTCCTAGATCCCACATGTGTGCGGGTGGGGTTTTGCTCACTTGTGTGGCCTTGGGGTTGAGGACCCCTGATGTAGAGAACAGAGGGTATTGTAATAGAGAACTCTAAGTAGTATATAAACATAAGAAATTTAGTATTGCCTGGTGGTTACATGTGGTTGAGGTGTGCTGCTTGGATGAGAACTGAAAAATGTTTTGATCTAGATTATCATAGTTGTATATTTTTGCATTGATCAGAAAGAGATATAACACGTTTTGGTTATTGAAGTTTTTTTTCATTACCAGCCTACTTTCCTTGTGGAACTGTCCAGAGTGCTGGCAAATCCAGGAAACAGCCAAGTTGCAAGAGTTGCGGCTGGTTTACAGATCAAGAACTCTCTGACATCTAAAGATCCGGATGTAAAGACTCAACATCAACAAAGATGGCTTGCAATCGATGCCAGTGCTCGCAGAGAAGTCAAAAATTATGTATGTTAAACCTTACTGCTTTTTTTTTAGCTGTATGGAAGATTTTCAGTAATAAAAGCATCTACAGTATATCTTTAGATTAATACTGTTTCTTCAATTTACTATTCCCTTGTTTATTCCCAAGTTGAGAAAAATATGTCTTACAACTTCTAATAAAAAGGTTGGGAGGCATGCTTTATTTTTACTCAACTTCAAAAATAGTACAGAAAAACAGCAGTCCATTGCTTAGTGCTAAAAGTATTGCAGCTTTGTGATCTTGCCTACTGATGATGATCCTCTTCTTATATTCGCAGGTTTTGCAAACCTTGGGTACAGAAACCTACAGGCCAAGCTCAGCATCACAGTGCGTTGCTGGCATCGCCTGTGCAGAGATCCCTATGAATCAGTGGCCTGAACTTATTCCTCAGCTAGTAGCCAATGTTACAAATCAACACAGCACAGAGCATATGAAAGAATCAACATTGGAAGCCATTGGCTATATTTGTCAGGATATTGTAAGTTTTGCCTTTAACATTCTATTCAAATTATGGTATTTCTTCATCTTGTGCTTATTATTAATCTCCTACACTCTCTGGCTTAATTTTAATCAAAAGCTCATTCCCATGTTTTGTTAACTGAGTAAAGGAGTAGTGCACAATAATACTGTCTCTGAATATGTTCTAAATTTCTCTTACATGATTGTAGCTGATTCCAAATTGTGCATTAGAGGCTTCACATTTCAAGCAACTGAAAATCCTAATATTTGTTCTCGGAGTATAACTGCGTGTAATTACTACCTACTATTGTTTGCGGGAGCAAAGCAGATTATTAAGTCTTGCAACTTTATGGACAAAACATGCAAAACAAGATAAATAAGGCACCAACAGTTTTGTTGTCCAATTTTTCTATAATTTCTTTGTATTCTGTTTGTGACATGAAAATTAATTTCACTAATTGTGCAGCTACCTATGGGACAGGTTTAAATATTCTCTCTCTAGAACTTTGGTAGGCTGCCTCTTTGCTGGAGGCTGGGTCAGAGGACTCAATTCAAGTTAGCCCTAGAATTCATCTTTCTGTGCCCAAATAAGATGCAGAAACTAAAGTACTCAGTGACTAATACAAAGTGTAGTGATTAACACCCTCCATTCTAACTTGGAAATACCTGGGCTTCTCAATTTAAACAACATACTATTTTATCATTTTAGCTGATTGGGCATTTCATAGGAATATAGGCATAGTTTACAGTATTCTTTCTTTTTTCAGGACCCAGAACAGCTTCAGGATAAATCAAATGAAATTTTGACTGCCATTATCCAGGGCATGAGGAAAGAAGAGCCAAGTAATAATGTGAAATTAGCGGCTACAAATGCACTCTTGAACTCTTTGGAATTCACCAAAGCAAACTTTGACAAAGAGGTAAGTGACCATATTGGAGTCTGATGAAAAAAGAGTTGAAAAGGATGTCAATGAAATCCATGGTCTGTGATGAACAACCATGCACCACACTGAGTTCTGATGCATTCCTCTTTTGACTGAGACTTGGATTTGTATATGTTTAGAACTTGTTTTGAAAAACGTATGTTTATTCAAGTAGCAATAAATCAAAGTGACATACACATAAAAATGCCTTAATTTTATTGGTCAACTGTGACTACATAAAGGATTATGATAGCATATCCTTTTCTTGTATGCTCTTGTTTGGAGATCAAATTAATATGTAGGCTATTAAACAAATTTTAAGGTTTATGGAGTCAGTAGTCGGCTTCCTGGGTGATATTATTTCTTATACCAAGTATATATCAATATTTGCACAACTGTCCAATGAACGGTTTATGGTAGTGAATCGGTATGCGGCAGACATCATAAAATCAGTATATGCATTAAGAGAATAATTTTATGACAGTTCAGCTTCATTGTTTTCTCTGAAATCCTGATAACTCACTTGGTCTTTTTCTCTAATTGCAAACAATATTGATAGGTTAATTTCTAATTACTTACCAAAAGATGAAAATATTCAAATGTAAAATGAATACAACTATTTTTTTACCAATTATTTGGTAGTGGTAAACTTTTAAGATTTGCTTTTAAAGCAAGACCCAAATATTTTTCATGCAAAAATACAATTTTCCATGTCAAATTATCTAAAATTAAAATAGTAATGCTATATCAGACAGTGGGTTAGTTGTAAAACTTCTGAGATGTAAATAGTGCAGTCAGATTCTAATTTATAAATGAGAAGATACCAAAATGTAAGTAAGTCTCATACTGATTGTGCTGAAGCCTCTTTTTCCATGTAAAAGGGTGCATCTTATACTCCGAAAAATACATTAATTTCAGAACACATGGATAGATGTATCCACATTTGATAGGAAAGTGAGCATACTAGATCAAGCCAAGTCCAAAAGCGCTAGAGAATTTCTGGATACCTGAAACTAAGACAAATTGATCATCAACAGGCACTTAAAAATAAACATGTGCCAACAATATCAAAAACAAGGAATCACCAACAAGCAAGCTTATACTAAACAACAGTCCAATAAAGGAACCATCAAGACCCAAGATATTACACTGAGAGCAAGCCACTAGTATATAAATCACTGATGATGATATCTGGTTTGGTAATGAAATATCTGCAATAAAACAATCAAACTCAGTCTGCTAAGGATCCCACATTTAGATACCATTTCCTTATTTGGGAGATGCAGCTTCAACACCATCAGTTCTTTATATCTTTTGTCCTATTGATGACTAAGTAGTATTAGAAATAGAGACAACAAACTCAACGTCTCCTCTTTGTTTGTTTCTTCTGCTATTCCCTGATTTTTTCTTCCATCAAAATAATAAAGATATAGGTATTCCAAGTATATTGCCTCAGTAAAAAAAAGTCATTGAATCTGTGGAGAGTATTATAATATAATTTCTGAAACGGGTTTATTCTTGCCTTCAGAAGCCTTCAGATCGAAATTAAGAATACTTGGGACAATAATGAATCTTCCCCAAAGTAGCCATTTAGTAAGAATTTCCATGAGCAGCAAGTCACAAAGAAGCTCAAAACAAAATTTTGGGATCTTCAGATCACTTCTTTTGAATAAAAGCAGGTTTTGATGACTACCAATGTAGAATAAAAATAGAATTCGTGGAAATCAAGTAAGATGGAAGATATTGTTTACTAAAGAGATTATTGATGCCTATATCAAATTTGCTAGCAAGCACTTGGAGAAATGTTCTATAAATATATAAGCCACAAATTGAACTCTATATTTGGAGGACGATTAAAAATATGAATTCTACAGAATATCAAAATATCTATCAGCTAAAATTCAAGTATACATAGATGATGCAGCAAAATAACATATAAGCTAATCTATAAGAGAATGAACATATAATATATAATCTATAAGGTAATGGATGAAGGAAAATAAATAATTCGTTAGAAAACAGGTAGTCCTTGACTTAGGAGTTGTCATTTAATGACAGCAGTCATTAATCGAAATAATGACACCCCCAAAAAGGTACTTATGACCCAGAATTGAAGTTCTGACTGCCAGACCCCTCATCTACCCTACAGACGTGATAGCATTTTGGATTCTTAGCAACTGACCTGTATTTACAACTGCAGTGTCCTACGGTCATGTAACTGACTTATGTCTTTTGTTGGAAATCAGCATTTTTGATTTACTTAATAACCATGATGATTCTCTTTACAACCATCACAAAAAGTCATAAAATGACCCAGTCATGTGATGACCCTCTTACTTATTGAACTTATGACCATAATTGCTTTGTTCACAAACCGAGGTAACACCAGTTGCAGTTGAACCATTTATTAACAAGCTAGGTTCACCAACAAATGCACGCTCGACAAAAGGGCGCTGACGAAACCGTGGCGAGAAAACCGCAAGTTTGAAAGCGCACCGACGAATGAGTGCAGAAGCGCACCGACAAAAGCGCGCTTTAAACCTAACACTTACCCTTACCCTAACCCTTACCTTAACCCTAATTGTGCTTCTGTTGGCGCGCCTTTATGGGCGCGCTGTCAATGTCGCGGTTTTATCGCCGTGGTTTTGTCGGCACGCTGTTGGGCGTGCATTTGTCAGGTAACGAACAAGCTAACATAGAACTATAACAGACAAACAAGAGAGGCGTCTGATGGCTATTTGTAAGACCGCTATCAGGCAGCCAGCCAATCCACGGCTATGTTTAGCGCGCCTGTCCCCCGGCACGCTGGAACCAATCAGTGAAACTCGGCTTCTCCCAGGTTGGAAGTCTGAGGACTTAACAATAATTCCAGTCATAAGTCAAGGACTACCTGTAGCTATGTCAGGATCATCCTAGAAATGTCACAGAGCATAAAACAAGCTTGTGCTAGAAAACTAAGTGTTAATAAATTGAAGCAATTTGCCATGGGAGAATGCTTTACAGTTCCTATGCAGTAATATGACCACTATTAATTGGAAGCGTTTGGTGCCAAGTATTTGGCTTTACTTTTTTATTCTGATACATTATATATTGGATGAATTTGTTGATGAAATAAATGAAACAGGCTCCAAAACTTGGTATTATTTTATTCACTCAAACTCCTTGTAAAAACCACATGATAATATAGTTACATAGTTCATTGATAAAGATATGCAAAACACCAGAAAAACTAAAAAAAGGCATGACTACTTTTTCACACACTATATTGTTCCAGCTAGAGACAGAACATTTTATGAGACACTTACAAGCTTTTCTCTAGATTTGCTTCTAGTAAGACATTTTTTTAAATGCTATGAATGCCAAATTAACAAGAACCAGTATAGAAATGATTCTGATGTTACAGTGAGATGCATGGTGTGCTTGTTTCTGAAAGTTTATGAAGATTTATTTACCAGAGTATAATTTACAAGTTTAGAAAGAAATAGTCATACGATAAGTACATTGTTTTGAGTTGCAGGGAATTTCAGTTAGGGTCTTCCTTTTGGATTTGGATTTTGTTTTACCATTAGGGACCTAAAATACGAATGAAAACCAATGTTCAAGTCAATGAAAGATGAAATAAAATATATTGACTGTCTAATGAGTAACTTACACTTTGCACTTACTTTATCCAAACAATTTTATATTTAAACTGTACAGTTGTGTAATATCTGTAGTAAACGATAACTTTAAAATAATTTTATTTCAAACTGGAACTTTAAAACTTTCTAGTAGACTCAAGAATTTTACTCTTTCAGAAAAGGTATGTGGTTGAAATGGCTTTTAAGTATTATATGAAAAACATTGCCATATTGCAATCATGTATTCTCAATCAAATACTTGAAAAGGTGTTTTTTTACCATTGCATTGGTTTGATAAAATAAAATTGTGTGTTGAATTTGAATCATTGAGAAGTTCTATGAGATTATTAGGAGTTGAAAACTACTTGATAGCACATATCAAGTCAAATCATTGAGTGCCAGAGGATTCTAGTATATACCATTGTATATTTTGTTTACCTTATTTTAATTTGAAGTATGCTTGGTAACTTCAAACTAATTCTGCATTTTTCTTTCTATTCAAAAATTCCAGTCTGAAAGGCACTTTATCATGCAAGTAGTCTGTGAAGCGACACAGTGTCCTGATACAAGGGTAAGCCTGAAACACTTTTTCCAAGGTTTTAATGTACGAACAGTATAAGGCTGTTTTAAAAAAAGGATGGCAAAGGCTTTAAACTGATTGTTCACCAAATATTTTATACAATGTTATCAATACATTAAATGGTTCCTGGAGTTATATAAAAACAAAACCAATGATAGATATCTATCCCAAAAGAAATTAACCTCAGACAAAGGTGGTTGGGAATGACATAGGGAGTGACACATTGTGAAAGTAAAGAAATTTAGTTTGGTTATAATCAAATTAACTGACAAATGAGTAATTATGTGCATTACAACATTACGTAGATGGCTAGGGTTTCGAGGTGGTCTTTATTAAATAAAGGGATGTCATGATAAGGGATGAGCAGCTAGTTCAGTAAAAGAAAAAAAATATTAAGAAAGAAACTGTTGCTTTTTATAGGTAATAGTAGATAAGTCTGTTGCTATAATGTCAGAAATAGTATAGGACAGTGTTGAAGAACCTTTTCGGCACCGAGTGACGAAATGGGAGTGCGCACGGGAACACCAGAAACCGGAAGAGCAATTGACCTTCCGGTTTCTAGCGTGTGCATGTGCACCGGTCACCTGGTCTTTGGTTTCTGGCACGTGTGCATGTGCAATGACCAGCTGATGCACATGCACACGTGAAGACCAGCATTAAGTCTGTTCTTCCAGTTTCAGAAACTTCTGCACGTGTGAAAACCAGCTGGCCAGGGCATAGATGGGTGCTGGAACACAGAAGAACAATGGGTGATGGCTAGCGTGCCCGGAGAGATGGTTCTGTGTGCCACTTGCTGCACTCATGCCATAGGTTTGCCATCATGGGTATAGGAAAATTATTGTTCTGAGTTCAGTGCTTTGTAGTTCTTTTCCCATTTTTCATTATCTGTTTAATTTTAAAGTTAGAAATAAACTAAAATATTTGGTTAAAGTAATTTGAATACTAGTTTTATTTCATTCATGTGGAAGATGAGTCATTGGTATTTTCTTCTTACTGTTATTCGTTTTTAGGTGCGAGTAGCTGCCTTGCAGAACTTGGTAAAGATTATGTCCCTTTATTATCAATACATGGAAACATATATGGGCCCTGCACTTTTTGCTGTGAGTATTCACAAGTGGGATTTGAGATAAAATATTATGTTCGAGACCCAAGTATCACATAATGGAGTGAACATCTACTTAACGGCAGCTCCTGTCAACCTAGCAGTTGAAAAGCATGTAATGCAAGTAGATAAATAGGTCTCACTTCGGTGAAAAATAAGCATTCCATTTACCTTTGGCATATAGTTATGCCATCCTCAACCACCGAAACTGTGTCTCTGGCTGTGTCAGAGATGAGCATTGCCTCCTAGAGTCAGACACAACACGCAGAGAAAAGCATTATCTTTTTTAATTTATGTGCTTTAAATTACTGTAAGTTCCCTGGTGGCGCAGAAAATACTGGTTTAACACTGCTTTTGTTTTTCTAAAGATCACAATTGAAGCCATGAAAAGTGATATTGATGAAGTGGCTCTGCAAGGTATAGAATTCTGGTCAAATGTCTGTGATGAAGAAATGGACCTGGCTATAGAAGCTTCAGAAGTAAGTTAAAGAATTGCAAATACTAAATTTTGTGACACTACTAATTATGACAATTCTGTTTTACAACAATCTTTGGTCTATGATGAAACATCATGCACCACGCTGACTAAAGTGATGCATACATCTATAAATGTTGAGACCCAAGGTTGCTAACACTTGAGAGTTGGTTTTTTTTGCATTGCAATGTATGTTTGAAAGATTATAGACAGATTTTCACACATATAAGTATTATAATAGCATTATAATAGCATCCTGTTTCTGCTGAATTCAACGTTCGTTACTCATGATTGGTTCACATCTTAGAGGTACGCACCAGTTGCTACATTCATGTTTTTGACAAGCATTTCTTGCAACACAGCACATACTACCTGGAGCTTTGTATCAGCATTTGCAAATCTTAAAAATTTTCAATCAATTTCCCATTTTCAGTAAACGTTCTATCAATTCAAAATTATTTTAGGTTTTACCTACTTGCTGCACTTTACTTGATTTTTAAAAAAACCAAACATAGTCATGATATTTGATAATTACTTTTCAAACCTGTACTTAATATAGAGTTTAGTAAAAAAATAATTTAGGTTTTAAACAAGCAGAATAGCATTGCCTGCTCACAAACTTACACGCTCATATTTCTATCTCCAACTACATACATTTTTTAATATTGGTGCCAGTATTTCGTTTATATGAATATATTGAACAATTAAGAAGACAACATACATTGTTGTCTTATTCTCTTATTATTCAGTTTGAACCATTGCTAAGCATTCCATTTCTCATTAAGTATGCTTTATTTCCATCATGTACCTGGCTTGTTGCATTTAACAACTGACTTTGAACTTCATTTTCATGAAAAAAAATCATAATTCAAGCCTATTGATCATATATAAATCCACTATTTGGTTATCATTCCCAAATGTAATATTGAGTCTGTGGGTCCTTGAGTGGGTTGCGGTGGGTTCCAATTCAATCCAAGCAAGATGGAGTGGCTTTGGTATTTTAGTCTGCCTGGGAACAAGTTTCTTCCATCTTTGGTATGGGTAGGGAAGCTTTACTATGGAGATTCAGTGCATTATTTGGGTTCGCCTTGGACTTGGGTGTGAAGAGCAGATTGCCGCTATGTATAGGAGGATCTTTCTTATCTCAGAGATTTGCACCAGTTGCACCCATTCTTGTATGGGGCTTTGCTAATAGTCATTCATGTCCTCTTTACCTCTCATTCAGTTACTGCAATGCACTCTATATGAGACTATTTATGAAGAACATTCAGAAGTTTCTTTAAAAAGTCCAGTACTTCATGCATTGATTCTGCTGTCTTAGAGTGCTTAGAATTTGTGTGCCTTTCTCAAACAAACCTGTTGTTTTCAAACAAGATTCCTCCTTCAAATCTATTTTTCTAACAAATTAGATAAATCTATAAATCTAACAAATTAGATTCCAATCATCTGATTGCAAGTGTGGTTTAGCTGCTGTTACTTGTATCAGAATATCATTTTTGGTTATTATTTTATCAAACTTTAAATCTTAAGTTTTCAATTTGAGCTTTTAAGTTAAAAATCATTTTTTCAAAGGCTACTGAAGGGCTTTTACAATAAATTTGTCTATCATTTGCATTTTTAATGCAATATATTAGGAATAATTATGGAAAAGCTCTTATTACTGAGCTTTCACAAAAAGAAACATTTTCTGCCAAGGATGGAAATAGATGTACCATAACAGAAAAAAAATGATATAATATATCTCACAATGAAAACTGAATAGAAAACAAATTCTAATCAGAAGTTAAAAGAAATAAGACCAGATCTTTTAAAAAGTAATAGAATATAAAATACTTGTAGTGAAAATTCAATGTAAATCAAATCCGATCACTTTCACATCCTAGAAAATCACTATTAATTTCCATACAGTGAAAGCAATCTTGAAGTCAAAATAAAGCAATATAAAGATGCAAAAAATGCACATTAAAATCAAGCAAAGGATTAGAATACACCAGCATTCAACAGTATAGAGTAACAGTTACAGATAAAAGGAAAAAGGAAACTTCAAAATGTGTAGTTAAAACTGAGACACACTTAAAAAAACAAAAGAAAAAGATGGAGACTTCACCTTCCAGATGTTCCTACCGAAAATTGCAATTGTTGAGATTTTTCTTCCCAGGTAGGTCCATGGTCGTTTGCATAAATATATGTTAGCAAACAATCTTGCAGTATAATGTTATTCTCAAGAGATTTTCAAAGGAAAAAGTACACATCTCAGTTCAGATAGGGAAGGGGCACAAATACATGTTTAATTAAAATTAAGACATTTGTATTATCTTTTGCAGGCAGCAGAACAAGGACGGCCTCCAGAGCATACNAGGAGTGCTGCATATGAAGCTCTAATGGAAATTGTGAAAAATAGTGCCAAGGACTGTTATCCTGCTGTCCAGAAGACAACTTTAGTTATCATGGAACGGCTGCAACAAGTGCTCCAAATGGAGGTTAGCTTGGATGTCTGAAAAATGTGATAGTATCCGCCCAAATGGGTGATCTCTAGAACAGGAAAGCTTAACTTGGGGAGTTGTATATTTTATGTTTTATTTCATGGATGTTTTGCATGTTTTCTGTGATTCTTGTAAAAAAAATTGACTGAATCAAGATTGAAATTAAAATATTGATTGTCAAAGAGATTTGTGGGCTAAAGATTGGATGAGGGATTACCTGTACTGGGGTTTTCCATTGCATCCACATGCCTATGATCCAGTGATCACTGTTAGATTCTAATTAAACATAGCACAAGTTTTTAAACCTCTCAGTTTGAAAAGCTGGCCAATGAATATCCTCGTTCAAATGCACATTTAAGATCAGAATTTGTTCTGGCTGTAGGTCTTATTATTCCCAAGCAACTTAATTTTAAATATATGTCAGATCTTCAATAGAGAGAAAAGTTTTAAAGAACATTTCAAATGCTGAACTTTATTTTCTCTCCAGTCTCATATCCAGAGTACAAGTGACAGAATCCAGTTTAATGATCTTCAGTCTTTACTTTGTGCTACATTGCAGGTAAGAATGTAACTTTATTACCTGATTGTAAAGGTGTTTACAGCTGTATACTCTAAAGCATTCAGTATAAGAACTATAAGTAATATTTAGAAGAAAACATCTGTATTGAACTTTTTACAGATTAAATGCCCTCTTGGTTCAAATTAGATTTTTTTTCTTTGCAATTTGTCAAAGTCAATGGTATATAGAAAAAGAAAGTAATACATTGGTGCATTGTTGAAAGCAAGAATTATCTTGGATATGTACCTCTTACCAACTGGTCTCAGAACTAGTATGACAAAGAAAGAGGTGGAACTTCTCACTACTTTAGCAAGAAAAGTTATGAACTATTGCGCAGGTAAATTTAGCCTGTCCTAGCAGATGCGCAGCTAAAGTTAACTATCGTTGTTCAATTGTATTTTGCTAGATAAAATATTAGTAATATGTGTAGACTAAATTAGCATATAAGGGAGAATATCCAGGTAGGAGATATTTATTACTAAATACTTGCTTATAGATTTTTCCAGTTCATACCTATTCACAAGATAAGAAAAAACGTAGTAGTAGGGGGAATAGAAAAAAACTTCCAGATAAATTTTTATCTTAACTTTCATCAAACAGAATGTCCTTCGTAAAGTCCAGCACCACGATGCTTTGCAGATTTCAGATGTGGTGATGGCATCTCTTTTGAGGATGTTCCAAAGTACAGCAGGATCAGGAGGTGTCCAAGAGGATGCTCTCATGGCTGTTAGTACTCTGGTAGAAGGTAAAGGTTTGCTCTGCTAGTCAAAAGGATATTTTTAAACATTGAAGGCTCTCTGAATACATAAGTGTTCGGGTTGTCCATGTTTTAGTTTTATGTTACAATTGGGATTATTCTGCACATTTAGGACTTATATATTGGTCCTGACATAACAAATTTGTGGGCTGAGGACTAGATGAGGGCCACCAGATAATATCCAAAAATTATAAGAACATTTTAATGATTGGATTCCAATACAGGTAGTAAAAAATATAGTGAGGTGGTATATTTTGAGGTGAGGTGGTAGAACAGATTCAAAGTTTTATTTTGATAAAATTTTGAACAGATAATACTGTGTTTTCCCCAAAATACGATCTATCCAGAAAGTAAGCCCTAGCCTGGTTTTTTTGGGTGGGCCTACCCCAAATATAAGCCCTAATGAAGGGGTGGGTGTGACAACACAGGAGGCAGCCCTTTCTCGGTCACCTTGTGGCTGCTTGGATCAGTTGAGCCAGTGTGGGCCGGGAGCTGCCTCTTGTTCTGTCTCTCCAGGCGTCGAGATGTTTTCCGCACACTCTTTCCAGCCCCAGCTCTGCCCTGTGCAAGCTCCGTGGCATCTCTGCAGCAGCACGGAGGAGGGTGGTGAAGATGCAAAGCCCCAGAATCCCATATTCCCTGGCCTTCCCTCAGCCGGTACCCCTCTTGCTGGAGCAAGAGGCCCAAACTCAGTGTTACCCACTGAGACCTCCCAGTGCAAGCGCTGCTGCTTTTGCGGCCGATTGCAGCCACAAAAGCAGCAGGTCAAGCAATGCGCCTGGCATGCCTCATATCTTCCTTACCTAATGGTGACAGTCGCAGCAGGCAGTTCCAACCACAGGAAAGTTTCCTCACGGGTGCTGCTCCGACCACCACCTTCAGCAAGCTAGGGCGCTTTTGCCGCTGATTGTGGCCACAAAAGCAGCAGAAACACAAGAAACACACCCTATGCGCCTTGCCCTCTCCTTACTTAATGGTGATGGTTGCAGCAGGCAATTCCATCCAAGGAAAAGCTGCCTCGTGGGTGCCACTCAAGCCTCCTCCTCCAGCAAATGAAATGTTACTGTAGTTGCAGAGGTCTTGTACAATCCTCTGCCGCAGTTTTGGAGCAAACCTCTGCCTTCCCTGCACAGGATTGCAAGACTGGAGGCGCTGAAACAAAAGTGTTTCATCATCTATAGGGATTTGGGAACGAAGCACTTTGTTCCCTTCCCAAGCACTGCACCCCATAATGTCCAATCACTTTTCACCCGGACGGAGAAATGTCAGAGGCTCAAAACTTCGTGTGCTTGCAAAGGGAACAGTTTGAAACACAGCAATTAGCTCATTTCAAAGCATCCCCTTTGCAAGCACCCAAAGCTTCGTCTTCCTCTGGGTGAAAAGTGCACAGTAGAGCCAGGCAGAGGCATTGCCCACTCCATCCCACCATTTCTCAGCTTCCCTGTGGCCATGTCAAAGAGGCACCCACCTGGGGCATCAGGAGCATCTGCCTCCTCCATCTTTTATGCTGCTGCCAGTGCTGCTACAAAAGCTTCCCATGAGTCAGTAGCCATGCAGCACATTTGGATCACCTGTCTTTCCTCTGCCTCCACGCTCAGACTTATTGGTCTTTGTACTGCGCCAGGGCCAGTGGGTGTGGGTGCTGCCAGACACTGTTGGCCCCTGAACACTGGCTGCCTCTCGTACTGGCCACGCCATCCCCCAGGCTTATTTTTGGGATAGAGCTTATAATAGGCCCACCACAGAAAATTAGGCTAAGGCTTGTTTTTGGGGTGGGTTTTATTTTTGGGGAAATATATGGGTGAATTAACATCCCTAGAGTTTTGAGAGCCACAAATTCATCTAAGCTATGGATATTAACGTCTTAATTTTAGATATCTCACATTTTTTAATTTTTAATTTTGCTCAGTGTTAGGAGGGGAGTTTCTCAAGTACATGGAGGCCTTCAAACCTTTTCTGAATATTGGTTTAAAAAATTATGCTGAATATCAGGNGGGAGAAAAAGTGTTCTGGAATTTACTTGGAAGTTCTAAGCTATTAACAAGAGAAGCAGCACAAATTATATATAAGAGAAAATATGAAAAAATCATGCATGTTTATTTAACACAGGTAATTTACTTAGATTGCAGGTTTATGATCCTGTTTCGATAGGATATAGAACTTGGACAGATTTTTTTTTCAGGATCAAGCATATGGAACAATAAAATATAAGCACTTTGAAAAATCTGCATTTAATCTCTGATTTTAAACACTTGATTTTGCAACAAATTTAGCTGATTTTTCACTAACTTTTGCAATGTTTTGGAACATTACATTTGGACATAGTATTAAAGCAATTCAGTACATTTTAAGCAAGCTTTGCACCTTCCTTCATCTTTTTATATTTCAGTTTAAAATATTGTCTGTATCTAAAAATGATCTATAAAATAGTTTGTCCTCTTTTATTATGAGCTCCAATGTCTTTGACAGGTTAGAACTGGGAGAGCAGTTTAGAATAAAATTAGTAGCAGGGTTTTTATTTTGCCTAGATTTCATGATTTTCTTTCCAAAATAAAAAATAAAGTCTAAGTCTTCATTGGTTTTCCCCCACCCTCCCTACCCATCAGTAATATGCATTGAAGCAGTTAAAGTTCCTGGTTTCATGGGAAAAAAAGATGTCTATACTGTTGAATCTAGGGTATAACCTGTAGTGGTAGGTTTTAGATCTCATTTACAAAATAGCAGGACAATTTTTAAAAAATACCATATCCATTAGAAAATTTCAGAGAAACATACTTCAACAATGTAGAATTATTTAAATCACTATTAAATATATATTTTATGTAAGTTACTTAATCCAATTAAACTATTTATTTGCTTGACATATTTCCTGACTTACTACATTCATGGTCTGGTCAAGAGAATTTTGTTTTATTACTACTTAATGCTTACAGAAGGTAAATTTATACATACCTGGTTATTGCAACAAGAACTAACTTTTTTTCAATAATATATTGCCTCCAAACTGAATCAATATAATTCAGATTCTGTTATATGTTTATCTGATTCTACAAGCTAACAGCTCTTAGAGAATACTCTTGTTTCATCACTATTAGACATTTTGCAAGCAATTCTGCAATGCTTATGAATAATCCATTTTGCATAATTTAATGTGATTTTATTCTAATTCAGTACCAGCTTTCAAGTTTTTTTAAAATTCAATTACCAAATTTTTGTTCAGCAATCAAACTTACGATAGTGGTGAAAAAATAACTTTTACAGCTATTTATGACCTTTACAATGTCCTTCGATCACTTGATCATTATTAAAGTAAGCATGTGTGTCCTGTGCCGGATTCATGATCACAAATAAACCAATTTCGTTGTATTTAAGTACAATGAAAATAAAGATTATACTTATACATAAGGTACTCTGCAATCTGTGCAATCCACACTTAACAATGGCAACTGAGACTGCCAGGACTGCTCTACTAAGCAACACATTGCACTTTGTGATTATTTCACTTAATGATCGCAATTTCTGTCAAAATCCAAGGACTACCTGTACTGTTACTTGTTTTGCTGTAAAAGATCATATTCTAGATCTAGTCTTAACACCCAGCATCTTACAAAGTATTGAACTACTACGTTGGTGTGTGATTAGACTTCCATGTAGCAATTAGTTTGGGTACATTGGGATGCTGTAACAGAAAATACATTACTCTGAAACAATAGACATACATTTCTTGTCTCAGCCAAACAAAAAATTTAGACTTTCTGTAAATGTCTATGGAGATTCTTAGTCAACCAGATCATGGTTGTCCCAAATATGCTTTTTCAAGAGGCAACTGGACTTTTTTGTTTTTCTTTGAAGACATTTTTCTTCTCATCCAAATAACTTCTTCAGCCCTGACTGGATGGTGGGGAATGGAAGGATTTATATTAGGGACAGCTGGTCATTTGCATTCTTTTAGAGAGTCGTTGAGATCACTTGGGGGTTTGTCTGTCCTCTGGATCAGTGCAAATGGGTGTGGACTGCTGAAAGGATTGTCTTGTGGAACTATGCTTTCTGTAGGATGTTTTCTGTAGGATGTTTTCTGTAGGATGCCCCTTCACTGTTGAACACAGGTGCGGGCTGCTGGGGGTGAGTCTGTGTTGTCTGCATTTCAAACTGAAACGCAAATGGTTCCTGTAGTCTGCAGTTTTTATGGAAATCTCTTCATATTCCTGTACCATTTGAAGGGTGTTCATCCCAAAGTGCATAACTAAATGTCTTTAGATATTATCTGTCATCAAGGTTAATTGTTGTCCTAAAGGTGACCCTGTTCAGTGACCCTGAGAATACAGACAAATTCCCTGTGGCCTCAACAACTTTCTAAAAGAATGCAATGACCAGCTGTCCGCAAGTAACATAAATCCTTCCATTTGCCGCCATCCAGTTAGAGCTGAAGAAGCTTATTGAATAAAAACAAGAAAGTACAGTTGCCTCTTTAAAAGCACCTTTGGGACTTTTTCTAAAGTTTTATTGAATAGTGACACCTCCACCCCCGATCTGATTTAAAATTAGTTCAATGTATTTTATTCCATAATCTTTGAATAAATATTAAGAGATGTGGTAAGTGCAATGCTTCAATGAGACTTCCTGATTTGGATGGATGACTTTTTTTCTAATAGCATAGTAATAGAATAGAAATGATACTGAACAAACAAAAAACCATTTTGTTCTGAGCGTGAAGTTAAATAGCCTACCCAGTACATTGTGGTAGAACATTTTGTGTTACTTGTGTTCCAATGGAACCTAACCAAAATATTTGGACTGTTTTGTCATTTACTTATAATACAATAAACCATTAGCACATCACCACCACCACCCTAGTTTTCATCCTGGAATCCCAAAACCAGTGGAGCAGCAACCAGTGTTATCTCTGTTTGATCTATAGAAAATTGACATATAAAAATAGTAAATATCAGTTGAGACTTACTTTTTATATCTGCCTGTTCAAGTCATATACACTTGAGCTAACAAAAGAACAAAATGCTGAGTTCTGTATATTTCACAGGCAACACAATTATTATACGATAATTGTAAATATGATGTACATGTGCAGTATACATTTTATATCCATTAATCTTCCTGGAAAAAAAACCTATTCATGGAATATATTGCATTATGATCCATTGATCCAATTTTCTCATACCAAACAATTTACAAGTAGTGTTATATGTCACGGAAAGCAGTATTTATCTTTTTTTGTGGTTGGCCATCTTGAATTATGTATAATGTGCTATCGTGATTTCAAAACTAACACTAGGATACTAGGATTGATGTTGGGCCACTGCTAGAAGCTTATTCATTTCCAATGGCAGATTTAAAAAAAATTTTTTTTCTATCGTTGCTCCAGCCTTAATCCCTTCTCCAAAAACCAAATGGAATATTTTATCCTGCCTTCCATTGATGTGCCACTTCAATGGATAGCCTTTTGGATAGTTCATTGGCATTTAATTGTGTCTGTAATAATGTACTCTTGCAATTCCTGGTTGTTGTTTTTTTGTTTTAGGCCTGATGGACATCAGAACAACTTAAGGAGTGCTGCATATGAAGCTCTGATGGAAATTGTGAAAAATAGCGCCAAAGACTGTTATCCTGCTGTTCAGAAGACAACTTTAGTTATCATGGAGCGGCTGCAACAAGTGCTCC